TGTTGGTGTGTGTGTGTGTGTGTGCTTGTGCCATACCCGCAGCGCTGGCCTTGTGTGAATTGTCCTTGGCCAACTGGAACACCACCAGCGAGGCTGTCAATCAAACGGAGGCCCCTTGCCGTCACCGTGGCAATGGAGACAACTGCACAGGTAGATAAGCTGGAAAGAGAGGGAGGAGAAATAATAAATTGATTGAGGTGACATATCAAGATGGGGGGGAAAGAAAAAAAATAAAACAAACAAAGGGAAGATGTAATCATACTAATTAAAATTGAAATTGCCAATTAACCCGGAGCAAAAAAAGATAAATGTAAATACAACACAGATCCTCACTATGAATCTATGAACGCTTGTGCATCCATATTTGCCTAACTCCGAATGCTGCGTGACATTTTATTGTTGATAATTAAGGCATATTTAAGGCTTTAGAAGCCTTTATATTTTGTCACATTTGGATGCGTGTACCACCACACCATCAGAGACTCGAAGCTAAAATTAACATAGCTAAAATAATCTAACCTTATCCAAGTCAAGAAGCTAAATGAAACAAAAATAAGCTAAACTATGATTCATCCATCCATTCATCTATCCATTTTCTAACCCTCACAAGGGTTGCGGGGGGGGGGGGGGGGGGGGGGCGCTCGCCCCGCGCCCATGCATGTTTTTGGGAAGGTGGGAGGAAACCGGAGTACCCGGAGAAAACCCACGCGGAACATACAAACTCTAGACAGGAAGGCCGGAGCGGGAATCGAACCCTGCACCTCTGCACTGTGAGACAGGACGTGCTAACCAGTTGCCCACTGTGCCGTCCTAAACTATGATAAATTAAATATAACCAAGCTAAAATAGGATACCAAACAAACTTGAGTCAGGAAGGCCGGAGCGGGAATCGAACCCTGCACCTCTGCACTGTGAGACAGGACGTGCTAACCAGTTGCCCACTGTGCCGTCCTAAACTATGATAAATTAAATATAACCAAGCTAAAATAGGATACCAAGTTATGACTGGTTTAACTACGCACGAGTAAGATAAGCTAATCATCACTCACTCCACCAAAAATGAGAGGATAAAATCACAAGGAAACATTTAAACTACACTCAGGTAAGATGAGGTAACTCACCCCCCCAAAAATGAGAGGATAAAATCACAAGGAAACATTTGTCCAAAAAAAAGCGATATTTTCTTTGACTTCTTCCTTGAGCCCGCGCGAGAAAACAACCGCAAGGTTGTCTTGTGACGTTTTCAGTGGCCCTTCAACGAAAACGCTATATTTTCTTTGACTTCTTCCTGAAAATAACCGCAAGGTTGTCTTGTGACGTTTTCAGTGGCCCCTTAAACTTCGTAACTGGTTATGAACCTTTGCGTGTCTGTTCTCACTGAAGCTCTCTCATTGATGCCCCTGCGTTGTTTTACGAGCCAACATCCAAAGGTAATCTCATGGAAAAGTGTCATAAAGATAGCGAACCAAGAAGAAGAAATGGCGTATCAGTTATATTGCAGTCTATTTATATAATTCGCACATAACAGAAGGTGAGCTTTTAAGTCAAAGGAGTACAACTGACGTTTGCTAGAAGCAGGGGTGTGCAATCTTCAGCCCTTAAGCCAGGGGGGTTTCGAAACTACTCATACTCGGTAGATAACTACAAATGAAGACACTTGGGTCAAAATATCAAAGTACATTGACTGAAGTAAAAGTAAAAAGTCAAGTCAGTAAAAATCAAACAGTACAGTGAGGTACAGATACCTAAATAATCTGGAAATATCAGTCTGTGTGTATTTAATCTGGTCTGCCATGCAATTTTACAAAAAAAAAAAATAATCCTCAAACAGTAACCACTCATCACAACAAATCATATGTTTTAATTTCCAGTGCCTACCACGGACACGGGACAGTGGAATGGACACTTTAGCAAGTGTCCACAAGAACTCAACCACTACTGCATCCACGGGGAGTGTCGCTTTGTTAAAGACCAAAAGGCGCCATCCTGCAGGTGAGGCGGAGGTTGTTCGGAGCGTTTGAATGACGCAATGGCTGTGTTGACATTCACGGACTGCATGAAAAGGACCGGCACTGACTGCGCATTTCCATTGCAATTGCATTAGCAGACATACGATATATACCGCCGGTAGATTTTGATCCACTTTTGCAAAAAAATACGACGCACCATCGCCGCATATCATGCAGAGTGGGCTTGGTGCGTTGGAATCTCCCATTGAGATAAAACCGTATTTTCATCAGGACTCCTGATACTGTCTATTAAATGTAGCCTTCTTTTTTCTTGAAAGGCTTAGGCTGCTCTTCTGTCTCCTTTTCTACTTGCCAAAACCTTTTTTTTTTACTTATTGTGCTAGCTCCTGGGTTTCATTTTAGCGGTAACATATCACGTGACCGAGAAGCAAGCCTTGATCTGCGTCAAGAGTGACATATTGTAGACGGATATAACAGAGAATCTGGTATATTTTCAAAATAAAACATATTTGAGATTTTGAAATAAATAAAACGGAAGTAATGTAAGTTCTTTATTCTTTCTGTGCGGCCCAGTACTAAATGACCAACGGACCGATACCGGTCCGCGGCCCGGAGGTTGGGGACCCCTGGTTTAAACAACCAACTTCCTTTCGATGATTCCTATCTTCTAAGGGTCTTTGGTTCCTCAGGTGTCAGCGTGGCTACGTCGGCTCTAGATGCGAATATGTGGACCTGGACTGGCGGAGAGGAGAGAGGAAGCAGATGATCATCGTTTGCGTCATCGTGGCACTTATTGTCCTCATTCTTCTCCTTGTGTTCGTCTTTGTCTGTTCACAGTGAGTATCTGCCAATCCTTGGTTGTTGATAGTGATGGATACTCGGTTTTTACATCTTGTCAGGAGATGGAAAACCAAAGCTGAAGTTTCGGTTGTCACTGTTTATGAGCAACGCTTTCGGAAAATCGAAACCGCCACTCCCTTTAATTCCTGTGTTTTATTGCCATTTTATGACCAACTCCAAACATGAAGGCGCAAACGCGTGAGCAATTGTTTTGATTGCCCTTAGCTGGTTAGCTTGTTTGCAGTATTGTGCATCAAGCTGACAACAAGAGTTTTGGGGAAGTATTTGCTTCACAGTTTAAGTGTAGCCTTGAAGATTCACGGCTGGGAACTAAGGATAGTCTTCGAGTTAGCCTGAAGGTTTAGCATTCGTGTTGTTTTGAAGGTTCTCACTCTAGCTAAGTTAACGAACCCTAACTAGCTAACTTGTAGCCACTGTGGTGGGTTCCATTTTGTCATTGCTTTGAAATGCTTTAAACATGTTATGTTTCCTGTCAGTCGCAGGTTAAGATGTTGCCGGAAAAGGGGACGGCGGCGGGAGGAACCGAGGAACGGGACTGAGAAACTCAAGATGATGGACACCAATGCGCATCCCTTAACGCCAGTCTCAGGGGAGCCTCTAACCAACAATGACGTTTGACGGGAGTGTTTGCGCTTCTCTACCTGTCTGGGAAACAACAGTTCAGATGTTGTCCTGTCGGATGCACAGGCGTGCTGAAGTCCATCCCTCTGGGCTGGTCCGAACTGAGTCCTTCCTAACGGTGAGAAATCTCTGGACATGATGGAGGACATTCAAATGGGAAGTCTACAAAGTCTGGGACCTTGAGAGAGAGAGAGACCCAAGAAGATACCTAGTTGGATTAAAGGTAAACACAAGACTGAGATTATCTCTCACGGGAATATGCTGGATTTATTGAGAGAGCTACCGGCGGTTGCGGCCTGTTGACAGCCGCCAACGCTGGATCACTGCGCTGCAAAATCCACAGTTTCCATCCGCTCGTCCTTGATCCACAGCACCGTGATGTGGACCCTGTGAACTGTATCATGGCTTTAATTATTTATTAACACTATCAATGCAAAGAGTCCTTCCCCAGCAAATGCTAAAGTCACTCCTCACCTTAACCCAAAACGTCAAACCTATCTTTAATCTCTACACGGTGAACCTTAAGTCTTAACTTAACTCCCCAAAACACAAGGCTAATGCTAACTTCAGCTCCTAAATTTATGGCTAACAGTAGTCACCAAAGTTAAACCTCAAGGCTAACCCTGTTTAGTTGCTAACCTCAGGCTAACTCCGTCACAAACAACAAACCTGAAGGCTAACCCCATCCCTTGTCCTTAACTGTCATAACTTATAGTTATCTTTACACCCTACATTGTCCTATTTTGGAGTTCATATTGGGACAAACACGAAAACCGCACAAGTGCTTTGAACTGCAGGCAGGCTAGCAAAGCAATCGATTTATACATCCGATTTCTATATCTTTCAGGCTCTGTTGCGCCTTCTTTCAGCTAGCTTTGACTTTCTATCCCCGCCACAATTTTTCCTTTGGAGGAAGGTTAAATATTTCGGAAAACCATGAGCAGTCTCTATTTAAGTGTTACACCACAAGCTACATTTTTGTTTTCGAGGTAGGGTGTGAGGGCTTTTCGGGCAGGGGACTCGTAAATGTGAAAAGATTGTGGTCCAAAGGAGGACAAGGAGGACTTGTTTGTGTATATTTAGACCCTGGAAGCATCTGGGCCCGAACAACCCAGCCGGTGTGTGGCTGAGAAGAAGATGGTCCGCTGTTGGTGAAGTTTGCTCAAGTTTATTTATGTCTCATCTGCTTCCATTGAACGTTGTGTGCTATATTTTTATTCAAACCCTCACAAAATCCACCATATAACAGCCTAAATTAATTCTGCATCTGGTGTGGCGGCGCTTTTTCCCCCCCCACATGCCAGCAAGATTGTGTACGAACACAATGAAGCGGTTACAGTATCGTGATGGTATGCTATAATATTACCAGCTGCAATTAGCAGTGTGATGCCGTAGGCGTTGACAAATTCCTGCGCTGTTGGCAGCCAGGTTTCACATTGCTGGCGTTTATGTGATGAACAAATAAGAATTAAAAAAAATATGAACGCTGCTCCGAATACTTTCATCCTTCTACGTGACTATCACTCTATTACACAAACCAAGCATAGTTATCTTTAAGAGGGGCAAAATATAGTATCTGAAGTGTATTTTTGGACTCATGATCCTCCTTGTATCGAATTGCTAATTCTGGGTGTCTGAAAAAGTGGACCCTGACTAATTGGGTCTGATATAGATCGATAGTTACACCATAAAGGTCGTTGGATTATTCAATGATTAATCAATGGTCTCCTCAGTATGCATTGACCTAATTCCAGGTGACCTGCGTGTTTCTCTACCGGGCTGTGGAATGAAGGGGTGTGTCTGCTGCATCGCCGATAAGAATGGCAGATAGCAGGCCTGGCGACATACACACAGTGAAGTGTCTTTCATGTCTTTTGAATATAAAATCTCTGAAAGTGACTCGGAGGAAGTAGTCAAACCCGGTGCCAGGAGTCCTCAGCGCTGTGGTATGTGTGTGTCGGCAGTCATGTAACCAGTTTAGAATACAATCAAACTTGATTATCCGTGGAACAATGAGACTCAGTTGGGCATCTCCGAATTTGAAATGTTGTCAAAAAACATATAAGCATGCAATTATCAAAAAGATACTTACATAACAGTGAGTGTCTGGGTAGGAGGAGTCTTCAATGATTCTGCTGGGGGGGGGCGTAGTTTCATCCATTCATCCACTCTGCTGTTGGCAGCACCTGCTGAAAGCCCGAAGATTCAATTATTCTCTGATTTTTTTTTTTTCCAGTATTTAAAAAAAAGTTTCTGTGTTTAGCTGGGGTGGCAAACGCTCAATTTACATAGAAAATGTATATTGGAGGTTTATCTGAGTTTTCTGATGAATTGTGGGGGGGGGGGGGGGTATAAAAATAAAATTCAGCGCATTTCAATAGTCGTCAGTGACGCAGATTTTCACTACTTGTGGGTTGGCCTGGTTCCATTCCCCTGCGACTGGATAGTTTGAAGTTGCAATACCACCATTCACCACTAGATATGGCCAATTGCTCTTGCACCGAGTCTTGGACTGCTCAAGTCAATCGGGGGGTGCAGAGGGAAATGGAAAAAACTGATTTATGCGTCTGTGTGCGTGTTCATCATATTATATATTTTTGTTTTTGTGGTAGTGCACATTGCACCCTAAGCATCCTATCAGTTTAACTTTCACAAAATATATATTTTAAAAATTGCCCATCCATGCATCCATCCATTTTCTACCGCTTATCCGGGGTCGGGTCGCGGGGGCAGCAGCTTTAGGAGGGAAGCCCAGACTTCCCTCTCCCCAGCCACTTCTTCGAGCTCTTCCTGGCGGATCCCAAGGCGTTCCCATGCCAGCTGGGTGACATAGTCTCTCCAACGTGTCCTGGGTCGTCCTCGGGGTCTCCTGCCAGTGGGACATGCCCGGAACACCTCACCAGGGAGGCGTCCAGGAGGCATCCTAATTAGATGCCCGAGCCACCTCATCTGGCTCCTCTCGATGTGGAGGAGAAGCGGCTCTACTCTGAGCCCCTCCCGGATAACCGAGCTTCTCACCTTATCTCTAAGGGAGAGCCCGGATACCGTGCGGAGAAAACTCATTTCGGCCGCTTGTATCCGGGATCTCGTTCTTTCGGTCACGACCCATAGCTCGTGGCCATAGATGAGGGTTGGGACGTAGATCGACCGGTAAATTGAGAGCTTTGCCCTTTCGCTCAGCTCCTTCTTCACCACGACAGACCGATACAACGTCTGCATCACAGCAGACGCTGCACCGATCCGCCTGTCGATCTCTCGCTCCCTCCTGCCCTCACTCGTGAACAAGACCCCAAGATACTTAAACTCTTCCACTTGGGGCAAGAAGAAAAAATTGCCCATTCCTGCAATATATGAATGAACACCAATAATGAAGCAACACATGTAGACAGACAACATAAATACTCACAGGCATTTATTGTTCATCCTTTCTCCTGTGGGTGGTTTGACACAAGACGGGGAAGATAGCGATGTAGTGAGCTATCAACGAGCTCTGCCATAGCAGTCTGGAAAACAAATCACTTTTCTTTGTTATGTATGATAAATCAGTCTGTTTTCTTAAATGAACCGATTTGAGATTTAGGTGTTGGGGTCGGATTTAGCCACATAATTTCATATCAGAAAATAATTCTTAAGTACAGATAGACTGTATGTGGGGAAAAAATACATTAGTTACTGTACTTGTTGAGTTACTTTCTGCTTAGCACTGACTGCATGCAGTTAGGGCAACGTCGTTCCATTGGTTGATTCTGCGTTACACGTCAGTCAACTGATGCAGGGGAGACAATCTCATTTCTCTGTAGGAGAAGAAAAGGTTAGCCAGAGTGCTGCGTCAAGACGCATGACGCTTGGTGGAGCTGTGTGAGACTACCATGAGAGGATTTGTTTAACTGCTTGTGTGTGTGTGTGTGTTTGTGTGTGTGTGGTCGAGTGGTTAGCACGTCCGCCTCACAGTGCACTGGTGCAGGGTTGGAATTCAGCTCCGGGCTTCCTGTGTAGAGTTTGCATGTTCTCCCAGTGCCTGCGTGGGTTTTCTCCGGGTACTCCGGTTTGCTCCCACATTCTAAAAACATGCAAGGCAGGTTGATGGAACACTCCAAATTGTCCAGAGGTGTGAGTGTGAGCGCAGATGATTGTTCGCCTCTGTGTGCTCTGCGATTGTCTGGCAACTAGTGTGGAGGGAGAGGGAGGGGGGGGGGGTCCTCTGGATGTGGGAATCGGAGTACAATGTCCATGGAATCGGCCGAGGAAGGCTCGGCGTGGAGCTTCAACGAGAGCGCCAACACCACCGCCAACGGCTCCTGCTCCGCTCACGTCCATGGGGACGACCTCGGGACCGAGCAGGGCTCGGACGGCGCCGTGGCGGTGCGCATCGTCATCTCGGTGGTCTATTCGCTGGTGTGCGCGCTGGGGCTGGTGGGCAACGTGCTGGTGCTCTACCTGATGAAGAGCAAGCGCGCGTGGAAAAAGTCCTCCATCAACTTGTTCGTCACCAGCCTGGCGCTCACCGACTTCCAGTTCGTGCTCACGCTGCCCTTCTGGGCGGTGGAGAACGCGCTGGACTTCACGTGGCTCTTCGGGCGCGCCATGTGCAAGACGGTGTCCTACGTGACGGCCATGAACATGTACGCTAGCGTCTTCTTCCTCACCGCCATGAGCGTGGCGCGCTACAACTCCCTGGCGTCGGCGCTGCACGGCCGGCGCGGGGGCCGTCACTCGAGTCTCCTCCGGCTCTGGTTCGGGCGATGCGGCGCGGCGCGCTGCGTGGCCGCCTCCATCTGGGTGGCGGCTGCCTGCGCCGCGCTCCCCCACGTCGTCTTTTCCACCACGGTGCGCGTTTCCCCCGAGGAGGACTTGTGTTTGGTGAAATTCCCGGAAAGCGAGGGCACCGGCGGCGTGCAACTCTGGTTGGGACTTTACCACTCGCAAAAGGTCCTCCTGGGCTTCGTGGCTCCTCTCGGCATCATCTCGGCGTGCTACCTGCTCCTTTTACGCTTCGTGGCGGCCAACAACGACGCCAACAGGTCGAGCGCAAAGAGACGCGCCAAGGTGACCAAGTCGGTCACTATCGTGGTGCTCTCCTTCTTTCTCTGCTGGCTGCCCAACCAGGCGCTGACGGCGTGGGGGATCCTCATCAAGCTCAACGTGGTGCAATTCACCTACGAGTACTACACCACGCAGGTGTACGTGTTCCCCGTGTCCGTGTGTTTGGCGCACTCCAACAGTTGTCTCAACCCGGTGCTCTACTGCCTGATGCGCCGCGAGTTCCGCAAGTCTCTCAAGAGACTCTTTCGTCGGATCACCGCGCCCGCGCTCACCACCGTCATCAGGCCCATCACCGGCACCACTAAGCCCGAGGCGGACGAACAGGGACGCGGGCAGCCTGCGGCGGCGCCCCAGGGAGGACACCAGGACCCCCCCGCGGTGGTGTTCTACCCTCCGGGGGCGGCCATGTAGCCAGACACACGGCGCGCGACAGACCAGTGAGGTGGAAAAAATACTTGAGTACACTGTAAATAAAACGTTTTTTTTTAAGTTAAAATAGTAATTTCAGTTGGAACAACTTTTGCTGAGTTGTTTTTGCTTACACTAACCAAGTTGGGGGACAATACAAGGGACAGTTACTTCTGTCATTTTAAGTTGGGGGACAATACAAGGGACAGTTACTTCTGTAAAGTCTTATTTCTTTGTTGAAAATGTGCGAAAGCCAATTTTCACATGAGCACAAATGAAAATATTTCATTGAATTGCCCAAGTTAAAATTTGATCGAAGTTGGCCTTCTTTTTTGTTGAAAATGCGCGAAAGCCAATGAACAAAAATGAAAATATTCAATTGAATTGCCCAAGTTAAAATTTGATTGAAGTTTGTTTCCTTGAAATTTTGAGTTCACCCAACTTTTTTTTTTCTTTCGGGCATCTGCAGACTCACATATTGGTGGATTTTTCAATGTCTGTGAATATTTTATTCATTAATTTATTTATTGAGTGGTCAGAGGGGGTTTTGTGATGGGGGTGGAAAAAAGGTCAACGCAAGACAGAGGGAAGCAAGTGTGCGGGATTAACTCAAAACAAAATGTATTTTTTCCACAATTCAAACAAAAACACAAACGAGTCATGTGGAATTAAAAAGAATACACAATTAATATGAGTTAAAAAAAAAGACATCGGTAGAACCAACAAACAGCAAAAACAGATCATGACATTTGTTTATTGTTGCTTTTTTGAGGGGGGCGGGCTCAAACCCTATTTTCATGGAAAATACATCTTGCAGCTTTATCAGCATTTTTGAATAATTGTTTGTGATATGTATATCCATCTTGTCAACAAGCTCACATAGTTTTCTGTTTGTCTGTATATGGACTGCTTGCAGTTCATTTATATTTAATAAATATATATATTTCTATAGTAAATGAAATAGCACCGTAACATATAAAAACGTGACAAAACGTAACAAGCAAATGTAACGAAATAAACTGTTTTTAAAGTGTAATTATTGTACATCCTGTAGTATTCATTCATTGGATGTATACCTTTAAGGGGTGTGGTCTCGTGAGTGCCCTTCAGAGCGACAGTCAGCTCGGCCAGTTAGTCTGCGTGTAAGCGTTTGGGTGAGAGTTGTGGCTTAACAGCAGGTGCTTGTGATTGTTGTCATTTTGGATTTGTAAATTTTGTCCGGATCAATAAAGAGCTGAAAATTGCATTAGCGGCAGTGCCTCTCCTTGCCCACATGTGGGGCATTACAATACATTCATTGCACCGTGTTTTTTCACTTCACCTGAACTGCAGCATAGCTGAAGCCCGCTCGTGTCATGAATTTTGGCTTGGAACTTGAACTTTTTGTTCCAATTATTTACAATAAATAAAACTGAAATTGATTTGAGAAGATAAATGAAAAACAAATTGTTAAACTAGATAGACATATCTAACCTATCTGTCTGTGTGCTTTACTGATATTTTAGGTACTTATTTGAAAAACTAAATTTGTAAATGAGGTAAAGAAAGTATATAGAAAAGTAAAATTGAATACATTTTGCAACAGTTCACGCTCAGGAAAATATTACAAAATTAATGCAACTCCCAAAAAAAAGAATAGCATATTTTCAAAAAAAAAAAATGATTCATGTTCATTTCTAATGTCATTATTTCAAATTCATTTGATTATTTAATAGGCATGATAAATAGCACATTTTACCGTAGAAGAACAAGAAGAAGGCGACGACGTCTCGCGAGATCTCGTCAAGTCACGCGTGATGATGCTTTGAAGTCCAAAGCTTGCTGTGACTTTCCCCACTTCAAAAGAAACCAAAGGTGGCATTTGGGGGCTGATCTCACTGTCATCACAGATATGAATAATTTCCGTTTCATAATTCATGTGGATCATGCTTCAGATGTGCGAAGATGATAAAGAATATATCAATTATCAATGCATAAGGAGACGAGAGGAAATTTACATCTGCTATGCTACTCTCATGTGATGGCAACTTTGTCTAGTCGCTCATGTGTTTATGAGATGTGCTTTAAAAAAAAAAAAAAAAAAAATCAATCAGGACGTGATTCCTCTTTTCATCGCGCTTTAATTAATTTGGAATAGCTTGCGACAACATTGGGCGGAAAAGCGTGACAGTTTAGCGAGCGGATGAAAGCCACGGCGGACGACTCGCGGGCTCGCCGTCATTCAATCGGAAAGAGCTTGATGACGTTTTCAATGCCGTGCGCTCGTCTTATCGTGTGGTACGCCGGCGTAAACTAACGTGAGGGGATGATGTCATAGGGGCAGTTTTAAACACGCAACACAGACACACTATTGTGTACTTTGCTACTGGGTAAAAAAATATGTCTGGCATTTCTGAATTGTATTAATGATCTTAATGTACTGCCACTCTATGACTCACATCAATGGTCTTTGGATTCCTGCAAATCTATTCATCCGCCCATCATCTGAAAATTCAATGGAAAAAAAAAAAAACGGCTCCACAACAACAACAGCCATTTCTTTGCATCTTTGTACTAGGGTGAGAAATTATTATTTTTTTTTTTTGCTGAATGGAAGGTAAAAAAGAAAAGACAAATTAGATGACCTTCAAGCTGAAGTACACAAAAGGTTTTCACCATCTTGAGACCTTTTGAGCAAAAGAACATACTGGGCCTCAGAGGACAATCTGTCTAGACTACACAACAGGGAGAACAAGCTTGTAAACAGTGTGAATCACCCAAAAAATAAACAAAAAATTTCACTATTATGATGAACAGTGTATAATTTTACAATAGTAAAGTTGCTGTTATATGAGGCGGGGGGGAATATATTTTTGAAAAGTTCCTTATTTTATGAACAATAACTTGACATTTTCCAAGAAAAATAGTGAATTAGAATAAAGTTTTTGGTTTTAACTTAAACTGGTTCAGCACTTGGAGATACAGTATACCCCATGAGGTATATTTTTTAAAGTATTTTTTTAAATGATTGGTTTTCGTTTTTAGGAGAGCCAACTGTTTTTTTAAAAAGTATACTTAATAAGTTGCAATATACTGCGCATTGGCGGTATACTGCAAGTTATTCCAGAATTCGTTCAGGTTAAAAAAGGGTAAAAAAAAAAAATCTAATTTGGCTGTTATTTTTTAAATTATTATTATTAAAACAAGCTCTTGAATTTAAAAGGACTAAGATAAGCCCCTTCCACTGGCTAGAAAACAAGTCGACTGTGTTCACTCCCACAACGGCGTGAACGCCTCTTTCTAACTACGGCCATCTATGAAAATATGAGAAGAAAGAAAACCCGCATGCGGACAGCTAGACTGCATATTGCGCTAGGCTTGCGCTCAGCACAAAAAATAGGGGCAGTGGAACGCACTTCTTAGCTACTGAACTTTACATGACCGCATTCAACGGTGTGATGACAGATTTCCCATTTCTAACCGCTGACTTGACGATAAAAACTTCAAGAGCTCACAATAAAGAATCTTTATTTAGCAATAGAATAGAATCTTTAGTCAGTTATTACAAATAGTGCGAGGAGTGAGCGTATCTGACGAAGAGCGCGATGAAGACACAGCCCAGCAGGGACACGGTGGAGGCGGACAGGACCACCACCACCACACTGCCCACCACGTTGACCAGGGCGCCCAGGCCCGCGCCCACCAAGATCTGGGCCAGCTGCACCATGCAGGTGAGGGCGGCGCAGTCCACGCCCGTGCCCCGTAACGATTCGCCACCGCCGCGACGTTTCATTTCCTCCTGGGGGAGGAAGGGGAGGAGGAGATTGCTGATTGGCTGATGGATTTGTATTTTTATTTTTTTAAATGTCCGCACTGTTGTTGGCCGGCTCATCACTAGTTTGACTGTCAATCATTATATGCAGCTTCACTCCGTAAAATAAAATGTCATCAACACTGCATATGTTTTTCCCAATGCATTCCAATGGCCGTTAATTATCTGGATTTTTGTTTTTCTATCTCCTTTGCCAATCCAAGGCTATTAGAGCAGTCAAGTTGTAAAAAAAATATGTAAAAAAATAAAAAAATGTGCTAGTTATTTGAATATTAACAATAAGAAGTCAATTCAACTCCACCAAGGTCTGGGCGCAGATGAGTTGTGTTTTCTCTCAAGAGTAATTCCAGCTTTGCACCGTTAATGCACTCGTATGTCTGGCTTTGAAGTGTGAGTCATTTTGAGGGGATTTAAAAGGCAGTATGAAAAGAGAGAAAGAAACAACTCCCTCTGGGGAAAATATGAGAGGACCTTGTCGGAATTGAATTTATTACACCACTTAGTATTGAATCGACAGGGTGCTTTGAGAAACGCAGATGCCGACGTGCTACGAAGGAGACGCATCCCCCCCATTCGTGATTGAGCCTTTTTGTTGAATCCGCGTCGTGCTGGATCGCTCGACACTCCATTAGGTTCAGTCGGATGAATTGCGTGTGGAAAAAAGTGGCGGGGGTCTGAAAGCAGTTTAAGACGGCAAAACAATTTGCTCCCTTTTGATTAAAAATTGACGAGACTACCTCTGCCTATCTCCTCACACAAACCAGACAGAAGCTTATCTTCAACGCCAACAATCTTAACGTATTACAGTACAAAGTCATTGTACCACAGCTGTTAAAAAAAAAAAAAAAAAAAAAAAAAAAAGCCATCTAAAGATCGAGAAACAGTTGCTCAGGCAGCTGCTAGCCTGGAGCACCAGTTGGTCCCAAACCCTCACTTTCTCCTATTAGCAACTAGATAGGAACTATAAGTTATTCATCGCCTCCCCTAGCGTGTCCAATGAATGTAAATGTTAAACAGATTCTTGTACTAATGCTGACATGTCTTCCCCGAGCCAGAGTTGTTGCTTCTCAAAGGTTGGAAACAAGCTGCCTCGCGGTTTACGTGTCCAGAGGGGCTTTAATGGGTCAATCGTTAGCATCTGAGTGAACGCTGGCTATTTTAGCTAGTTTGCTAGCTTCAGTGGGCGCATGGCCACGAATCACTGGTCAGCTTGGTGGAGGCTAAACTTTTCAAAAATCTAATTTTACACGTAAACCAGAAGACCTATTTTCACCAGAAATACGCTCATTTGCATTTTTTGCTGTGATTCGATAGAAACTTGAAAAGAATCGCACGTTAGCAGGGGCGCTAGCACTAAAGCCACGCTATACTGGAACTGCGGAACAGCATACAGGGTATATAAAGGATGTACCTCCTCCTCGCGCTGGTACTCTGCGATGAGGTTGAAGGGGATGGTGTAGAGCGTGCTGGACATGACGCCAAAAACGCTGCACAGGACCAGCGTGGCAATGATGTTGGGGAAGAGGCCGATGAGGCCGGTGCCCAGGCCGAACACAAAGTAGCCCATGAAGTACAAACCTTTCAGGCCCACGTAGGGCAGCAAAAAGCGCTGCACGTCTATTCGGGAAAAAACAAAACAGAAACATATTCTTCGTATCAGTCGATGAGCTCATGGACACTTTCCGCTGAGAGAATAGCAAATACGCCCATTGGAGTAGTGTCCAATGCACTCGAAACACCCTTTCGTACAGTGCCTTTCAAAGTCAAACGGACTTTGATGTAGACTAGAGCAGGTTAAAAAGCGTGTCAAATATGGCAGCCATGTTGACAGATAAGAGAGTCCCCTTCAGATGTCATGGAGCAAAGACGTTAGCTTAGCATCAAGGCATTTTTGGGCTACAAAAAAAGTACAAAAGAAGAGCTTTGTACTTTGTTGCATGTTTTTACGGCACGAGAAGAAGAACTTTGATGTCATGGGACAATCGTCTCAAATGGACAAGCCCGTCCATCAGTTAGTCCGTTCAAATGGGGCTTTTACTGTGCTTTTTCTCGAAGCTTCTTCAAGTATCCTCATGTCTTTTTTGTCACACTCGACCTCTCTGCTTCTTTTTCCGTCTTTTTCCCGGCACTCTGCTGTCACGCTCACACGTTTGTCCAAAAAATTGAATGCGACTCAAAGACCACGACAAAATGAGCATCCCGTAATGAAAGCCGCTGAAATCACGGAACCGAAGCAGCAGCTCATTAGCTTAGTGCCAGGCTAGATGAAAAAAATAAGAAGTCCTAATGAGCCTTCCCGCTTCCTTCCTCCTCTTCCTTTTCAAGATTTTTCTTTTATACTTGGTTAGGGCGCTCACGGATGTGTGAGCTGGCCACTGGGAACACTCAAGAGTTGCATTTCCGCCTCAACGGGCGGTGTCTTCAATCACACACAAAGTGCACTTACAAGAGAAAAGAGCCGAGGACACCGCATTGATGCACAAGCCCCAGCAGCCAATTTCCACACCGCGCTCGTATGTGGCATAGGCCGTGGAGTTATGCTCGGCATACGGGTTCCCCTTGTAGACGATCTGCAAAGAGGAAACAAGATGAAGACATTTTTTTTGTTGTTGTTGTTGGTATCAAAGCCTTGGTTGATAGCGACGCGTTTTCATCCCGTCTCCCTTTGAAGAGGCTGATTTTTATTATTTTTTTTGAGTCAAAGGCAAGCTCCGGCCTTTTTACATTTTCACCTGTTTAGTTCAGAGCCGAGGTGGGCGGAAAAAAAAAAATGCATCTCACCGTGAAGTACCACATCCATTCATCTCAATTGCTTTCATTATACTTGATGATTACAAATTCTCAATTTGACAGTTCATCAGCAGGGGGTCACCTAGAACTGTAAACAGAATCATCATTATATCCTCATGAATATTCTCTTTCCTCCAGGTCGTTTGGCTCTCATGTCAGTGAATCGACTGGAACTGAACCGCTCTGATACACATCCAAGCTTAGTCATCCGAGAAGGCTTTATCAGTTCATGCAACGAGGCTGTGCAAGCCAAAAAAGATGGTGTGTGTGTGGGGGGGGGCACTGTTGATGTTCCACGTCCGCAAATGAAACTCATCTTTCTCCAAAATTCGGAAACGCCAAAAGTTGTCTTGAGGAGAAATTGCATCGTAGAGCGGAACCAAAGAATGCAGTAAAAAACCTCGGAGGATTGACGCACAAAAAGTCATTATCGCATGCAGACAAAACACTCGATTCAAGTTGGTCAGCGAGCCATCTGATGCTTCACCAAAGACGTGCCTCACCTGTCCCATGAAGTCGGTAAAAAAGAGCATGTTGCAGAGGAACGCCGTCCATCCCAGCAGGTGACTGATGCACAGGTAGCGGTAGTGGTTGGGCATGGTGATGATGGCTTTCAACAGAGACTTCAGTGTCATCCTCTCACGGGCCTTAAATGCACGGAAAACACACGCACGGCTATAAACCATCATCGCGTGTGACTAGCGATGGGAAAACGAAGCTTCATGAAACACTTTTTGACTCCTCTTGGTTTAGTGCAATGGAAATGTGTTAAAATTCCCCACTGTATCTTTAAACCAAGAGTGCCATCTAGAGGAGTCAAAAACTATCACGAGTGCTTCATTAAGCTTCACTTGTCCAGTAGGACTGATGAAAAATTGCATTTAGGTGTCCTACCCCTAAAAGGCTGTAGCGTGTGAACACTGTACCTCCTTGCTGGGCTGTTTGGCACTGGAGGTGACGGCGTTGGCCTCCCCAAGAGCAGAGAAAGACCGCTGCCTGATGTCCGAGACGGACAGCAGCGGGGGGTCCTCGGCTTCTTTTCCCAGAGTTCCGTAGCCGTTCCGCTGGGAGCCCAGTTGCCTCAGGGCACTGAGGGCCGACGGTCGGCCGGCCGCCGCTTTGTCCAGGGGCTCTTCGGGAATGCTGAAGAGGTGCACGGTGAGGAAAACGCTCCAGGTGAGCGCCGAGAAGAAAAAGATGACCTGGTACTCGGAGCCCAGCAGCTGGCCCAGGATGGAGTGACCCCAGTCCATGGCGCCCACCAGGTAGCCGAACGCTCCGCCCAGACCTGGAAGAGAAAACGGGAGGCTGCATCGTTGCACACTTGAGCGAGCCACGTAAATAGCGCAAAATGTACGTGATGAATTCGCTCCTCTTGCCCGTTATTGACAACCGCACAATAAGAATAAACGGTTTTAACTGAGTCTGGAAAGTTGCAGGAATAAAGTGACCGTCCTTTCAACTTATACCCGCAAGAGTATGTCGACTAATAAGACATCTGCAAAATTACAGTGCATTAATTTGTCTGAAAGGCTTCTGAAAGTGAATTCCTGGTGAGCACACATCGATTCCTCCTCCTCCTCCTCCTCCTCCTCCTGCCGCCTCCGTCTCACCCCCCGCATTCCAAGGCAGAAGAAAGAGTCATGTGCGCGCAAGGCTCGCTCAGCCCAGACCCATGACTGCAGCGCATGACCGTTGGATTACGTACGGCCGCGCTCCGTCCGATGCTCACATCACCACAAGCTTACCATCTCACTACCACTGGTAGAAATTGCACTGTAGAGCAGTTGCTTCTCAACTGGGGTCCATGAGTCATAGGTTTTAAGTCTACACGCTTATATATGAATGCCATTTTTGTGTGTGTGTGATATAATTACTTACCCTCTTGGAAAAGACTACGTTGAAAAAAAAAACATTTGAGTGGTAAAGGTATCAATGGCGGGAAAAGGAAGTGATTGAAAAGGTCTCTTATTATTAGTATATTTTTTTTTACAATATAGTCTTTATTTTAATTTATTAACCCTTTCATGCACCCTGCAACCTGATAACACAATAAACTGTCCACTTTAGTAACCGCTGTCCCTGAAACGGTTTAGAATAAAAAGTGTGAGAGTACAAAAACGGTCAAGCTCACAACGAGGGCCACAGCTAGAAAATATTTGGGTATTTCGATAGCCATCTGCAAATTCTATCGAACAAACAAGCATTCAGATAAAATAACAAACGATATACAGGTATGTTTGCTTGTTTAAAGTGATGAATACAGAGCTTCTTCAGTCGGGGAAGATGAGTCACGTAAGCCGCCAAACCACAGCGCGCTACCAGGAACAACTTCAAAATAAAAGCTAATCCAGGCAGTGGTGTCCATGTATTATTTGGTAAGATTTTATTTTGAATTCGGCCTTCTCATCGCGTTTGGGCGCTGTTGTACCGTCACGCAAGAAAAAGTGTTGCTATGGCTTGCGCGAATGTCTTTCAGATAGCGCATATCAAATAAACGGATACCCGAGGCAGGAAATATTCCTTAGGGACAATTACTGTTATTATTATTATTATTTTTAATCGAGATACTCAAATTACTCGAGGACTCGCTCCACCTTTACTAACAACAGACGCCAATCACAACGGCAACCAAAGTATTTTGTGTGCTTGAGTATTCGACGATACGTTATATTAACTCAAGTGGGAAGATCATTTTGGCATCAACAGGAGATTGTCCATGAGATGAGACACTCAGGAGACAAACACGTGCACACGCACTCACAAAGTCATTCCTGTGCCTTGTTCCGCCCACCCGAATGCTCCGAGATCAGTCGCGAGGAAGAACAGACAATTGCTTTCAACGCCCACGCGGCAAAATACAGCGACTGTTTTTTTTTTGTTTAGCAATCGAAAAAAAAAAAAAAAAAAAAAAAGCAAGCAACAGTAAAACATTTTTTAAATACCTTTTTTTCCGTTGTAATGCCTGGAAGGCAGTTTCAAGTTTTGCAATCAAGTACAACAGGATCTATTCAAACAGAATAGAATGATACGAAGTCAAAAAGAAAAAAAAATGAAAGTGCAGAATACAAACTATGAAAAAAAAGGACGCTATTTCATTGTACTAGCTTGTTTGTTTGCCTGTTATGTTTTCTTTCCTTTTTGTAATCCACAAAATGCTTTATATTGAAAAGGTCATCAGAAAATAGAATTAAATCAAGTCATTTAATATAATACAAAATTAACTAATCTTTAAAATGCATTTTTTTTAACTCAAGATTGTTTCCGGAATCATTCAAAAGTTTTGCAAAAAAGCCAAAGTAAAATTTTTTGGTTGATTACATTTTTTTTTTCTTATTTCCCAACCGGCAAAGTTGTTTCGCGCATGAAGAAGTCTTGCGAGAAACCGCCCACGGCAAAAATAATTCAAATAAAACCCAAAGCAATTGAAAAGTGGATGTGTCATGAGGATTGTTTTACCAGTGAGCAGAGCGTGATAGTGGAGGCCTCGCTCCTTGTCCTGGTGGGAGCACACGTCAAACAGGTAAGCCTTAATGGGCCCGTCGATGAAGTCGGCGGCAAAGTCGAACAGCACCACGCCGAGCATCACCACCACGATGGCCCACGTCCGCCGTGTTGCCCTGTCGGCGATCACTGCTGCAAAATAAAAGACCGGGTTTTTGACTCTCTGTCAGTCATTCCGCTTTTCAATTCCAGTGGACTCATTAGACTAATTGAGCACAAGGTATGGAGACGTAATGGAGGGAACGGAAGGGCGGAAATAATGAGAATTATTATAATCTGCAAACGCAACCCTATGCTTAAATGTCAATGAGGGGACTGAAATTGATTGGCATGAGCAATGTTGCCACATTTACCATCCATCCATCCATTTTCCAATTTGCTTATCCTCACAAGGGTCACGGGAGTGCTGGAGTCTATCCCAACCGCATTTGGCCAGTAGGTGGGGGACACCCTGAACTGGTTGTCAGCCAATTGCACACACAGATGAACAACCATTTGCACTCACAATCAAGCCGAGGGACAATTTAGAGTGTTCCGTTAGAATGCCATGCATATTCTTGGAATGTGGGAGGAAACCGGAATACCCGGAGAAAACCCACACAGGCACGGAGAGAACATGCAAACTCAAAACAGGAAGGCCGGAGCCGGAATCAAACCCTGCACCTTCGCGCTGTGAGGCCGACGTGGTAAGAATAGTAACTTATTTGACTTACATTACTTGATTTTTAAATGAACTTAAATTATATTACAAGTTACTTAAATAGTCACATTCGGCAGATACAGACAACCCAGCGGAACATAAAAATGACACCCGGTTTTGCCACTTGAGTGGAAGTGGATTTTAAAAACTGACGTTTAAGAATTAAGTTTTTATTCAAAATAAAATAAAGGCAAAATTTGTGACTTATACTGATATTCTGTAAAATAATGACTTCTGGATTTCACTTAACATAAAAGAGCTACCAAAAAAAAAAAAGAGTACCTCTTGACTTCACTTTATATAAATGGATTTTAAAATAAAATAAAGATAGCCTTTTATACTCGACATATTTATATTGGCAGGACTCAACATTTATTATGTATAATTAAAATAAAAAAAAAACATAACGATTATATTTGGGGACTTCCTGCAATCACACAATCTGTTGGGACTTTCTCTTGAAGCTTGAATGAATACCGTGCTACGATTCATGCCGTTTTGGACACAGTGTTATCGAAGCTAGATAACATTGTGTCGACAACACAGACTGTGATGTTGTTTTTAGCTGACATTTCTGTCGATGTAGTGCGCCTACGCAAGCGGAGGGACATCGAAGATAAGCACCGGCCGACATCTGAACCGCAACAGACCAACCAAGAAAACGACTGCCGCCTTGAGCAACTCATTTCCTCTCTTTTACTCACCTGAGATGACGAGATCTCCGTTGAGGAACATGGTGATGCCCACAAGCATGAGGAGGCCCAACGTCAGGATGTAGGGCCTCCGCCGCCCCCACGGCGAGCGGCAGTAGTCGCTGGCCGAGCCGATGACGGGCTGCAGCAGGAAGCCCAGGATGGGGCTGATCAGCCACACCAGGCTGTACATGCTACGTGGCAGGCCCACGCTGAGCAGCACGGGCGTGACGAACGCCGCCTCCACCGCGTAGCAGAATTCCCTTCCGAACATGACCAAGCCGTGGAGGATCAGGCGGCCCCGCGAGCGCCTCGGGGGCTCCACCTGTCCGAAGATGGCGTTTTCTGCGCTGTCCATATAGTAGTCTTTGGAGCCGGTCAAATCCTTCGTGTCCTGGTGCAAGGGGCCCGCCTGTTTGCTGGGCGGATCCGGTACCCGGCAAGGCTGGGGCCTGGCGGACTGATCCTCGGACAAAAGGGTCATGTTTGGACGGGAACAATCTGTACGCTAAAAAGTCTAAAGAGCCGCTCCTTGCATCGGTGCGAAATCCTTTCGACTACTTCATAGCAGAGTGCCAGACCCTCACGGCTTTACCGCTCATGTGAGTCCTCGCCGGCCCGCCTGGGAATAGCCGAGTCGAGCTCCGGGAAGGGAGGGAAAGAGAGAGGAGGAAAGAAGTTAGTTGAATTTATGAGATTAGCAAAGGTCTCTTCCCCTCATTGGGCAAAACTAAGACCCCGGGGGGGTGCTCGTGGGAACGTGTGAGGCCTCACATGCATGCGAGTGTGTGAGGCCGCATTCATAAGATTCATTCAAACACTGAGCTGAAAAGAAAATCACGATACCAATACTCTTATTTTTTTTCGTCCTCTTCAGATTTGTTTCTGCCTCGTTGTTCGAGGATGACTGTTAAAAGTAAAGACCTTGGGTTGATCATTTGAACACATTCATAACATCCCTTCAGACATCAGCAAGTCATGATGGCCACTAAAATTACGAAACTCCGAACATCCTGATATTTTGAGGATGACTCTGATTTTCGCAGTCATCGTTTTACACCTTACGCGGCCTTCAGCAGTAAGCTATGCATTACTGGTAATTTATTTTAGAATGTCCAAAGAAAACGCCTATCATATCTCAAAACAGTATCGTTAAAAAAATGAATTATGTGAATCAATGAGGGGCGGGGCTAGGCATTCCGTGCATTGAGCTATTTCCAAAGCTTCAGTACTCAAGACGAGACGATAAAAGGAAGCAGATAGAAATGTATTCATGTGTTTCTACGACATGCGTCAGCAAATGTTCATGTGGCAGATTTTTATTTCTAATTCCTTCAGGTGATAATCACGCCAGTTCGACTCTTGGACGGAAAAGCTTGCAGGCGATAGGCTCTTGCATCACGCTTCCAGAGACAAAAAGCCTCAGTTCCTTTGTGAATAATGAATAAACAAGTGATGTATCACACTTGTTTCTTTTGAATTTTTCATCAGAGTATGTCGCAGATGTATATTCATCACTGGCATAGCGATACGTACCCGTGTGACAACATAGCAGGGTTACATAAGCCATATTCTGTTGTGAGCAGCGAAATGATTCAAGAAAGCCACATGCTAACACAACCCGTGAACAGAAAATATATCTTTGAATGTCTACATTGGAATACAGGGCTAATGACTTTACAACAGAGTTCCATCACACTGTCCGCCGCACAGATGAGATTAGCTTCTTAGTTAATGAGCTAGCTAGCATTCCCTTCGCAATGTTTTCATTGTGTACTTGAATCAGGCTTTTTTTTCTGCGTATGAAACGCAGAGATGGCCACGTCTGGCTCGTTTCAGTCTGCCTTCGGTTCCAAAATTTCAGAGTTCAGAAAAACATTTCGACATAAAAGCAGAAAAAATGTTGCGCGCCACTTTAAAAGCCGCGTTCAATAGAAATAGTTCAGCATGACCTCAGAGCACATTGAACAGTCAAGAACGCTTACATAATGGCACTTTTTCGCTAAAGGTTGAGAGAAGGAGCATTTGTACAGCTAAGCAGCCCATCATTAAATTGTTATCAAAATGGCACAGGCACAGTTTCTTTTTTTCCTTTCTCAACCTTTTAAAACACTTGCCCGTACTGCGCTCCCACTGTGATTTTGAGGCATTCAAAGTGCAAGGGGTCCAGAGTGAAAGTTCCTTCCCGCCCACCAAATCGTTACTAACTGCTTTCTGGTATGGTGCTTCAGTCATCGACTTTGGAATTGTTTAACATTAAAAAAAAATAATCGGGTGCAGTACTAATCAGTGAAATGACAAATAATATTAATAAATGGGCAGACTGGATAAGGCAGGGGTCGGCAACCTAAAATGTTGAAAGAGCCATATATGACAAAAAAAACAAAAAACAAATATGTCTGGAGCCGCAAAAAAATAAAAGCCTTCTATAAAAACTTAAAATGAAGGAAACACATGCTGTATGTATGTAGGAGACTGGACTGTCTCAGAATTGTTTATGTTACTCATTCCTTTGTTGTGTGTTCACAAACGCCCCCATTGAATTTATTTTGTGATTTCCTCGCTTGATTTTTTTGTTTTGGTGCTTTATTTTCGCTTTTCTTAGTGTCAGTGAAGTGATCATTAATTTCCGTTTTTCGGAGGCTGTCTTTGAACGCCTCTCGAGTCGAACAAGAAGAGAGAAGGCACGGAGTCGGACGCAGACGTGTCTGTGTTTGTCGAGACTGTTAAAAGCAGAAATAAAGTGTACGTTTTAAAAAAACCAACACCACAGCTCTCCTTTTTCGGATCTGTAACATGTATCTATATCTATTTGAGCTATATTAGTCTACTATCAAAATCTTTTTCCATTTCCAAACGTTTTTTATAAAGCTCCAGGGAGCCACTAGATGTCGCTAAAGAGCCGCATGCGGCTCTGGAGCCGCATGTTGCCGACCCCCGGGATAAGGGATTTGCGCAATATCTGGCAAACTGCTGCTTGTTGTGAAGTGAGCTAAGTTGAGTTCTCTGCTCCCCGTACAGCGCTCATATCCGCCAAAACACCGTCTCATATCTCGAAAAACTCGTATCTCAAGGCACCAAAGCAAACCAACCACCGATTTTCAGGTAGTAGTTTATATTTAGTATCTTCGATGACAGCAAAATAACTGGAAAGTGTGCTTATAAGTCCAAGAGAACATTGTGACCATGTTTTACTCTGCCGTCCCCACATCAAACCGCTTCGATTAAGACCAGCGATTTCACAGCTTGCCACATGCTTTCAACACAGTATAACAGCCCTTTTGAAGCATTTGCCGTCTGGGGAAAGATTAAGACAAAGAAATGTTAGTTTCACATTGCGACCTTCTCCGCTGCTCGGGGGCCGCTAAAGAAAGCGCGACGAGGTAGCATGAAAGTAATCTCGCTCAATTTTCCGCCTGCTGCTGCCACCCTCGCTGCATAATTGGCGGCATGCGGCAGCACGTTCTCCATGTTGAGGAAAATAATAGCAGTCATTTTCAGCACAAAAGGCAAGATTACTATAATTGCAGGACCCCGACTGTGGCCTGAGAAAGTAACAGCACTCATTTCAATTTTGGAAAACCAAAGAAACTTCTTTGTTGCCCACTTTAAGGATTAAGCTCATCAAACTCATTGAAATATCAGACAAAGATGACCTAAGTGAGCATGAAAGGGAAAATTAAATGATGATTTCATTTATTAGGGGCGGCCTGGTGGGCAAGTGGTTAGCACGTCGGCCTCACAGTGCAGAGGTGCAGGGTTCGATTCCGGCCGGCTGCGGCCTTCCTGTGTGGAGTTTGCTTGTTCTCCCCGTGCCTGTGTGGGTTTTCTCCGGGTATTTCGGTTTCCTCCCACATTCCAAAAACATGCGTGGCAGGTTAATGGAGCATCTTGAAATTGTCCCTCAGTGTGAGTGTGAGCGTGGATGGTTGTTCGTTTATGTGTGCCCTGCGATTGGCTGGTGACCAGTTCAGGGTGTACCCTGCCTACTGCCCGAAGACAGCTCCGATCGCCTCCAGCAGCACCCTTCGCGTTAAGCGGATCCGAAAATGGATGGATGAATGGATTTCATTTATTCAGGGAAGAAAACTTTCAAAGCTACAGCAGCCCTGAATATTTGAAGCTCATAAACTATTTGGGCACTCCAAATTCAAGCCAACTTTTGAAGGCCGCCTGGAAATCAATGCATCAAATCAAAATGATTTATTTTTTTTGTCCTCAAAGAACTAACATTCTTAACTGGCATGAATAAAAAAAGAAGTTAACCACTTTGCATAAAACGCGCAGGCACGGAACGGCCAAAAGATGTCGGCTACAGACTTTCTGTTCTTGTACAGACAAGATTGGATTCAAGGCGGACAATGACATTTTCCAGCAAGCTGTCAGCTCAGCGAAGCAGCTGTATCCCGACGTGTCTGCCCACACCGCCTTCTCCCAAAACACTCACTTGATGCAACAAAGCCTCAACGGCAATTTGACGTTCGCTTTGCAACAAAGCAAGGGAGCTGTGGGCAGACTGGATAAGGCAGGGGTCGGCAACCTAAAATGTTGAAAGAGCCATATATGACAAAAAAAACAAAAAACAAATATGTCTGGAGCCGCAAAAAAATAAAAGCCTTCTATAAAACTTAACAATGAAGGAAACACATGCTGTATGTATGTAGGAGACTGGACTGTCTCAGAATTGTTTATGTTACTCATTCCTTTGTTGTGTCTTCACAAACGCCCCCATTGAATTTATTTTGTGATTTCCTCGCTTGCTTTGAAGGATGTCTGGAAATGACCCTTAGAATGCAAGCGGTGGACTTTTGTGTGTGTGTGTGTGTGTTTTTTTTCCTTAATATTTCATGGACAGCTGACGAACAAAGCCGAAAACTCAAATTTGTGGCAATGTGGCATCACTGGCCTCGTCCTGCATACGTGGTTCATATTCGGTAGCTGATTCCGATGGGAGATCCGATTCCATACAATCCAATAAAATCGGCGCTTTGCTTCGTACACGGAATGCCGCATCTCCAAGGCGATCAATACTCAGAACGGGCTGGAGCCGCGTGTTGCCGACCCCTGGGATCAGGTATTTGCGCAATATCTGGCAAACTGCTGCTTGTTGTGAAGTGAGCTAAGTTGAGTTCTCTGCTCCCCTGTACAGCGCTCATATCCGCCAAAACACCGTCTCATATCTCGAAAAACTCGTCTGGCGGGCCACTCGTATCTCAAGGCACCAAAGCTAACCAACCACCGATTTTCAGGTACTAGTTTATATTTAGTATCTTCGATGACAGCAAAATAACTGGAAAGTGTGCCGTTTATGTGTGCCCTGCGATTGGCTGGGGACCAGTTCAGGGTGTACCCTGCCTACTGCCCGAAGACAGCTCCGATCGCCTCCAGCAGCACCCTTCGCGTTAAGCGGATCCGAAAATGGATGGATGAATGGATTTCATTTATTCAGGGAAGAAAACTTTCAAAGCTACAGCAGCCCTGAATATTTGAAGCTCATAAACTATTTGGGCACTCCAAATTCAAGCCAACTTTTGAAGGCCACCTGGAAATCAATGCATCAAATCAAAAAGTTTTTTTTTTCCTCAAAGAACTAACATTCTTAACTGGCATGAATAAAAAAAGAAGTTAACCACTTTGCATAAAACGCGCAGGCACGGAACGGCCAAAAGATGTCGGCTGCAGTCTTTCTGTTCTTGTACAGACAAGATTGGATTCAAGGCGGACAATGACATTTTCCAGCAAGCTGTCAGCGCAGCGAAGCAGCTGTATCCCGACGTGTCTGCCCACCGCCTTCTCCCAAAACACTCACTTGATGCAACAAAGCCTCAACGGCAATTTGACGTTCGCTTTGCAACAAAGCAAGGGAGCTGAAGACAGACTCCAATTATCTCTGGAAAATGTGTCAAAAGCACAACAGCACCGAGGCCTGCCGAGCATCAATCTATCGAGCACACATGGGATGAATTTGGGAACATTCGAACTAAGTTTGTCTTTGAAGGACACCTGGAATCGAATGTAAAATAGCTGCCGCGAACAGAGATGGCAGACTTGTTTTGTCTTCTCGAGTTTGATGGCGACGAGTAATAATTTGGACACAGTTGGACAAAATTTCAAGACCCAATTGGTCTTTGAAGGATGTCTGGAAATGACCCTTAGAACAGAAGCGGTGGACTTTTGTGTGTGTGTGTGTGTTTTTTTTTTTAATATTTCATGGACAGCTGACGAGCAAAGCCGAAAACTCAAATTTGTGGCAATGTGGCATCACTGGCCTCGTCCTGCATACGTGGTTCATATTCGGTAGCTGATTCTGATGGGAGATCCGATTCCATACAATCCAATAAAAATGGGGTCACTTGGGAGTGCCCTGCATGGTAATCCATGACATTTAAGGCAGTCTTGTCGGTCCATTAAATTTTCAAGTGATTGGCATGCCGATGACGCGCCCTTTGTGCCTTGTCGCCTACGTTCAGAATGATTTACAATTATAAAAGTAGCACTTCATCTGTTGCATACAGAAGGACATCATCATGGTGCTTGTCACTGCGAATATATTTTGACATATTATCGGCGCTCTGCTTCGTACACGTCATGCCGCATCTCCAAGGCGATCAATACTCAGAACGGGCGGCGAGCGGCTGAGGCGGTCGAGATTCTGGAGGCATTTATGGATTGGAATGTTTTTCACAGTAAGGCTGTAGAAATGTGCACAACTACTGGGAATCATTAGCATTAAATTGCGTGAAAGTGATTTTTTACTTTTCAAGAAGTCATTTGAAAAGAAAGCACACACGTGAGGTTCCCTTGTGGACTTCTTGAGACAGAAAAATAGCTAAAATGCAAACGAATTAACTCATTCAGTACCAGCCAATTCTAGACCAAGTCTGAATAGACGTTTAAAAACGTCTTTGGGAGTGAATGAGTTAACAGTCAAGTACAATAAATTAATCAGGTGTTTTATTTAAAGAGCTTTATTCTACAATACAACTCAGAACTTGAATTATTAGGACTTGTCTTTCAAAGTAACGTGCAACTTTTTCCCCGAAAAATAATTTGGATATTTTTCATGACATTTGCCTCCAATTGCTTCAAAACACAATCAATATACAATCGATCCCACACAATTAAAAAAACAAAACAAAAACTTCTGATTAATTAATGGACAAATTATTTATCATGCTCAGCCATTATTACGAGGTTAAATTCCAAATTTACTGACTCTCCCTTTCAGCGGAAAAACTAAAAAGTATCCATCACAGTTTTGCCTTAACGCCGGAGCACTCCACAACGCCCGCGGTGAGCATTTTTTCAATTTCAGAGGATTTGAACCCGTATTCCTTCAGAACCTCCACAGTGTGTTCTCCGATAAGCGGCCCAGGGTTGACGCACGCCTGCGCGGGGGTCCGGGAGAGGAGAGGGGCCGGCCGAGGGCTTTCCTCCCCGTTGGAGTCCTTCACGAAGGAAGCCCTGTCACTGTTGTGCGGGTGTGAGCTCACCTGGTCAAGCGACAACACGGGAGTCACGCAGGCGTCCGTCCCGTCGAAAATCCGTAACCAGTCCGCCTGTGTCTTGGAGGCGAAACGCTCCGAGAAGATCCGACGGAGCTCTGGCCAATCCGAGAAACTCATTTGTGGTGGTAACTGGTCCTCGTCTAATTTCAAGCCTTGGCGAGAAAAACACAATAACCACAACACGTTACTGGATACTTTTTTTTTTTAAATCGATTCCACAACACTTATAATGTCCCAAAATAACAATCCATCGTCACCAAGGACCACATACTGTAATTGTCTTAACGTCCACGAGCTTATGCGAACACAAAAATGGGGAGCGCCAAAGCAACAGATATTGGAACTCAAATGCTGGCGCAACATGTAGACAGATAATATAATGCTACGAGCAGGCATATATTCTTTATCCTCTGCAAAGAACGACTAATATAACTCTGGCTTGCTGAGGAGCAGCACGTTGACTCTTTTTGGGTTTTTGGGTTATGGTGCCCCCGGGAGGCCAATGCACACCCACCAGAACGAGCAACGCTGGTATCCATTGAAATGAAGTAAAAAAAAAATCTGGCAAAAATGGTTCCATTTATTTACATTCTATTGAATTATATCATGACTGTATGTTCCAATGAAATATTACAGTGTTATTTTTCTGATTTAAAAAAAAAAACATGATGAATTGTTTTGCTATCTCTTTAAGAAGTTACAAATTACATAACTACCGTAAATGTAACAGGTGAAAGGAATATGACCTTCTCTAAACTTCTGAATGCACTTCTAACCGGTCATTGAGTGATTGTTCCATATTTAGCGAAATGACCAAACTCAGAACAGAAACTCTCATCCATGAAGAACATTCACTTCTACGGCTTTCTGGGACGCATTCGGTCTTTGTAGCAGCCTGCCGATGAGGCACGACAAGGTCATTTTAAAGAGCACGGTTACATATGAGTCAACAAACCTTGTAGCAGCTGCTTGTAAAACTGCGGCTCAATGGCGCCCACGGCCACGTGCTCGTCGTCGGCCGTCCGGTACGTGTCGTAGAAAGGAGCGCCGCTATCCAACATGTTCTCCCCGCGAGGACGATTCCATAAGCCAATGGCGCGGGATTTCCATATAAACGAGCCCACGTAGGCGGCTCCTTCCACCTGGACGCAGAAATTGGAAAGGTGTACGATTGGTGATCTTATGTAACGTTACTCATAGGAAAGTAGTAAGCAGTGTCGAGGAAGTATTTTTGAAGTGATACATCTCGATAGAGATTAATAAGATTTTTGTATGTCAGGGACTGACAGGTGAGGTTTAACCAGTTTTATTTAACTCAAATCAAATTTATTTATAGGCCATAAATGTTCGAGGGGTAAAGACTTTTTTTTTTTTTAAACATTTTTAGGACAGGGCTGTCAATTACTTGCTTTTTCGCTCAACACGACAGGTCAATAAAGTGACAACGGCGACATCGTAGCCGCCCTTTTGACTCTCACGAGCGATGGTACTCGCCACGGGCGTGTTAAAATGGCGTGCAGATATGCCTCATGATTGTAACCTGACGGACAAAACACGTTTCTTGAGATGGACGTCAGAACAAAAGAGCCAAAAGGGCAGGGCTTGCTTGTCTCTGACACTCGACAAGGCGCCGCTAATGTCTCCTTTGAGTGCATCACTAAGGGGAAAATCACACGTGACGACGGGGCTTTTGGTGACACGGTGCAATGCCTAACCCAGTCTATCAGACAGAATTTTTTTTGGGGGGGGGGGGGCAATGACAAACATTTTGCTTCTTTTGGTGTCAAAAGTTGACATGACAAAGAAAACAACATCAATGATTTCCACAAAGCCAGCCATTTATAGTCAATCATATCGCCATCTTTTTAATTGGTAGTGGGACTTTCTTGCTAAAACGATACAATTTTTTCCTCATCAAGTCCATGTGCTTTTGAGGGGGACATTGTCAGGCCTCATATGAAAAGACATTATTTTTACCCTGCAGAGGTGAAGAATTATAGAACACCGGCGAACTGCCTGTTTTAGATAAAATAGAAGTTTGTTTTGAATCAATTCAATGATTGAAATTAACCATTCGCATAAAAGATTTAATTTTCTAACAAATCATACAGTATCGATCAAAATCATAGGATTAATATGGACTAAAACCTTATCTCACTGGAGAATGACATAAACTTGTCACCATGGATTAAGTTTGCTTGTTGGTGAGGGTCACAGGTTAGATTGTGGCGTTCCCCAAGGTTCAATTTTAAGTCCAACACGTTTCAATTTGTACGACATGAGTTTTCACAATTGCTGATAATATCCAGTTTTACATTTCCGTTTTCCTAACAACCACAGCCCAATTAATTGTCTTTTTAACTGTATTTTGAAAAATGGGCCTGGATGAAGGTATGAGCAAGTGTCAAATCAAGACCAAAATCTGAGATGCAAGCAAGTTTCAGAAACACCACTAATGAACAAGATATGGCAATCTTTTTTTTTCCTCTCCTCTCTGTAGAACCATTTACACACAACCTTGTTTGCTGCGTGGCTCCTTTTAGAACCTTCGATATGTAAATCCCATCAAATTCAGAATTACAGATCGATATGACGACCTCTCTTTGCTTACCATACTGGAGTCGATGATCTGCCCTTTCCCTGACTTTGTTCGCTCCAGCAAAGCCAAGACGATGCCGAGAGCACATGTGAGCCCGCCGCCTGCAAAGTCGGCTAAGAGATTCAGAGGTGCGTACGGCTTCTCTCCGCTGCGACCCAGGCAGGATAAAAGCCCTGCGAGCAGCAATGGATCAGACAAATGTACAAAGAAGGAATGAAGAAATAAATGTGCAGTAATAGCATCACAAAGAAAGTATGAGACAACTTGCAAGAGCCCAAGCGCATTAATTTTCATCTTCCTTTCTCATTGGATTAATTTTGCCGGTACACAAACACTCACCACAAACAATTTGTAGCTTGAACAAGCTTGCTAATTGGATTACATTCCATACGTGTCTTCTTACCTGACATGGCCAGGTAGTTGATGTCATGTCCAGCCGCTGTGGCATACATTCCGCTTTGTCCGTATCCCGTAAGGCGTGCGTACACTAGACTGGGATTTTCCTTTAGCAAGTCCTCTGGACCAAGACCTAGTTTCTCCATCACACCTGAAAGATCATAAGATAGATGATTCGTACTTATCAACATTGTGTTCCCCTACTACACTGTCATTCATCATTCGCGCCTCACTACGTCATGTTTTTTGTGCCATCATTTTTTGTCGCGATTTGTCAGTGAAGTACATAATTCAACTTGGGTATTGTTTGTGGTCAATCTTGTTTTAAAATGTTATAAGAAAATTATTTGAGAAAAATACCAATAACCGTGATATTGAATCGCAAATCACAGTATAATCAATAATCTTGATATAAATCTACAAGTATTGTGATTTGAATCAAATCGGGAGATATGTGAATCATTCCACCCCGAGTGGAAAGTATGTGCAGTTCCTAAATAAAGATTGTCGTGGTCCAACCTTTGCGGTAGGGCTCCAAGACAACATCTGACTGGACACAGAGCTTCCGGAGTAGAGAAACACCCTCTGAGGTCTTCAGGTTGATGGCCACAGAACGTTTGCCGCGAGCCTGCGTGTCCATCGATGCGCCGGCCTTCGTGCGGTCGACGCGGACCACATTGGCGCCGAAATCGGCCAGGATCATCCCGCAGAACGGTGCCGGAGCAAGGCCCGCGAGCTCGACCACACGGACTCCAGCCAACGCCATTTTGAAAACACTGCATACAAATGTTTACAAAAATACATATTGTTTTTCTTTAAGATTAACAGACATTGTAACTGTTCAGGAACTGCTGATGTGGAACCCTAATTATGATGGGAATTATTATTTGAAAATCTGTAATGACCGTGAGCAAGGAAAGCCATAGTTGCTCATGCATTTTCAGCGGTTATTTGACAAACAGTCAAACATACAAATATGAAATGAGGACAGTTGCAGGGAGCTGCAGGCGAGCGACAACTCACACCTAAACTGACTCCAGTTCTTGACTTCACTCACTAGACCTTCAACAAGGGACTATTACGTGCAGTAATCACAATTTCGAAAAACATTTTTTACAAATTCTGTTTTATTATGTTTTTATGTGTCTTATTTTTCTGTATTGAAAGCAGCGTGGAAAATGTATCGCTTTGGGGAAGCTGGAACGGATAATAATGACAATAATGGTGTCAATTAATTTCAACCGGGAAAATTTTGTTAATATAAACTCAAATTGTGCTGAGAGTTTGTTCGTGTAACGAATTAATATCACAAGCCGTATTTCCCAAAGATATATGAGGATATCAGGAAAATAGAAGTGTCCGCGGTTCCATGAACTCACCACGGCTAAAAACAAAGCTAGGTTACTCGTGTTACGAGTCACGACGCAGACATCGAAACTAAAATACAAAGTAATCCAAAGTCCAAAGTCACACTGTCATGTTTTCTGTTGGCCAGTTGCTGCTAAATGCGACTTTTCCCGACGTGCGACGCACACGACAAACACACGCAGTAATATTCGACAAGTAGTTGTTATTTTTTTCCATCGCTACAAAAAGAACAACTGAGAAACCAAATTTGGCCAACCTAACCTGTATTTTGATTGCCCGGTGAAATTGTTCCCCCTGAAGAGTTGAATTACTGTGTGAAGTTGCGCGCGCAGACAGCATGGATCACGTGACTGAAACCGTTGGGGACGATCCAGCTGTTCCGTGTCAGTCACGTGATCAGACAATTTACTCTTAATAAAACCCGCACACTTTTAATACACATAGGTTATAACAAGAGTTCACTTAGTTAAATCAACCGTGTAATTCAAAGTGTGGTATTCATTTATACGTAAAAAAAAGTATTTGCTAACATTGTACACTGGATCCCACCTCCCTGCGTTCGACGGCCTACGCCGATATAAAAATGAGCATTGCACATGGCTGTGCTGCCTCAAGGGTTTCTGTGAATTTGAGTTTTTCATTGGTGCGCCTTGGAATTAAAACTAAAATAATACGAATGTATAAAATAACGTGTTTACGTTCAGAGCATATTAAATAATTCATTTGTGATTAAAATGCAAGCAAAAAATATGCTTCGTGTCAAAATCGTTGGCAAACTTACACATATTTTTTAAATGTATGACACGCACAAGCAGTGTGACTGTGTTAAGTGGTTTGTTAACCACATACGGTGCTTATAATAAAGAAAAAAATATTCATTCAGCACAATAAATATTTCGGAATACATATTACAGCAGGGCAGCTCTTTCGAGAGGCTGCATGTGTTGGAAGAATATATACAGGAAAATTATTCACTTCTGTGTTTGTTTATTTTTCTGCCAATAAACTTGTGATTCAACGTGATAAGAAGCACACAAGGCTGCGCATGAAGAGTTGCTTGTGGCACATTCTTCAAAATGTCAAACCACAAAAGAGATATGAAAAATGTCCCTACATTCTTCAAAATGTCAAACCACAAAAGACATATGAAAAATGTCCCTACTCGTGAGTCAGGTCAGAAGATTTTCTCAGCCTCGCCGCGACCTTTTCCTGATATTTATTTGTTGCTGACATATAAAATGATATAAATCTGGAAGCCAAGCTTTGAATTTTCCGACTCTTCTTTGCTCTCTGATTTCACTGCAGTGGAGGGGAATCGTGCGTTTCTGCTGAATTTCTGCGTTTGAATAGTTACAAAGAAATTGCACGTCCCCACTTTGATAGTTAATTAATCATGGCAACAAACATAATGTTGCGCATTTAAGTGAGTTATATGAGCCCCAAGAAACGCAAAAGGATGGAATCTAAAACTAGCACGCTGTTTAAAGTAGAAAATGAGTTAAAAATCTCTGCCTCCCTCTATTGGCCATATACTATAACTGCACTTGACAGCGACCCATGACCTCAGCTTTACTGTACAGTGGTGGGTGGTCCTTGCTTGAGAACCCCTTTTTAATTAATTTGAGCTTTGAAAAAGTCGCCTCTTAGAGAAAAAAAGTACAAACCCAATTCCAGTGAATAAACCATAAAACAAAGTTATTCAAATTACCGGTATGTTCAACCTATATCTAACAGAATACACGACAAAGACTGGCCTGCCTGCAGTCCATACCTGTTTCCCATTGAAAATGTGTGGCCCATTATGAAGCATAAAATACTAGCTCTACATCAAGCAAGAATCGAAAAGAATTCCACCGACAAAGCTTCAATCATTTGTGTCCTCAGTTCCCAAACATTAATTAAATTCTAAATTCTGTTGTGCTTTTATTCGTATTATTGGGCGCATAGATCAGCATTAGCTAACTGTCTCTGCTTCTGATAAGCTGCACATTTGATTCCTGGGTAAAGTTGTCGGGGCAGTAAAGTGTAGGAAGCTCACTTGCTTGAGATATGAACCATTAAAAAAAAAAAAAAAAAAATGAGGGGGGCGTTTTCCGCCAGGCAAAACTAGTGTGTCAACTGTACTATTATTATTGATCCAAAGGATCAATAATAGTATAATAATAATAATAATAATAATATTAATATAATAAAAACTAATAACAATAAATATAATAAAATAATAAAAATAACAATAACAATAATAATAATAATAATAATAATAGTAATAGAGAGTCAATGAACAAAAAGCCAAGAGACAGCAAAAAATCTTGCATTTGAGGAAACACAATGGAATGGCTCCCATAGGAGGGATCGCAACAATGTCATGCACAGAGCCGTGCCGCAAAACCTTTCCTGTAATATCACAGTCAGGAAGTCAAGTTTCCCTGTAAACACAAGGTCATGAGAAGCATCCAGAAAGGACACCATGCTGTGAATAACTATGCACCATCACTTGCCGCAAAATAAACAAATAAATACAGAAATAAATACAAACTAAAAACTTGACCATTGGTCTGAAACGAATCTGCTCGCGAACATAAACCAAAAAATGTCATTGAAATCATTGTAAATGCCTCAATACTATCCAAAGTTATTCTCTCAGACAACGGTGAAGTAAGTCATATTCTTTTGGAGAACAATCACAAGAATAAAGTTGTATTTTCACAAGACAATTATTTAAAAATGTATGAGGATAAAGTTATGTACAGCTCATGAACCCAACGAGGCTCTTGTTGGGAGTGTTTGTCTGCCTCTATTTTTGTACCTCTTATCCACGCTGATATGACGACATTAGCAGATGCAAACTTTGACACACTTGCATTATTGTTCTGAACAATCAGTCATACATGAAGTGGGCGTGGTTAATTGGAAACGCAGACGGCTTGGGAACAATGGCGGGGTGGGGGACCAGCTGTTTTGAGAGTCGTCGTGGGGTCTAAACGTCCGGGTGGGACACAGTATCGGCGTCTGCATACATGATGCAGAAAGAGTACATGCAAATTAAATTACAGTATAAGTGGCAAAAGAGCTACAGTTCTGTACACAAGTAAAAACATGAAAGTGATGATTAAAAAAAAAGCCTCAGGTAAAAGTACTGATTCAACTCTAGTACTTGAGAGATTTGTTCAACCAATAGCTAGCTAGCATCGGCGTAACTTTTATGCTATCAAAACATCATGTTCACATCCCTTTGCTCATGTTCTAAACTGACTAACTAAATTAGCTCATGCTAACAACGAAAATATATCGAAATATAGAACTCACAGCAAACTCCCTACCATCACAGGGGTTACATTTCAGACCATCCCCGCAAATAGTGAAGTAAAAATATTGTACGTAAGGTGGTACGGTGTACCAATCCCTTTGTTTACAGTAAATAAATATGTTTTTTTTTTCTAAACCAACAAACTATCATTTCGCAATATACAGTAGTAATAATGTCCAAAGATGGACATTATGAAATAAACCTACAGCTATGGCTTTCTGTAGGCGTAAAAAGTAGGATTAAAGAGTATTTGACGTTCAGTAATCTTCAGCAAAAGCGAGGCTTGAAATACTTCCAGTTTTCTCACTTATTTTCAAATTTACACAGTGTCAAATATAAGTGTTATCTGCCGCTATTTACATCTTTTTTTTTTTTGCTTTTTTTTTCTTAATAATCATCCGCAGAGGTAGAAAAAGAGTAACAAGCCGATTTGGACATGTAAGGAATAGAAAGTACAGATGTTTTCAAATTGAAGCAGTAAAAGTAAAAAGTCAGATAGTACGAACAAAAGTATTTTGTCATTTCCCACAAATGCCGATTATTCACAACAGAACCCTTTTCAAAAAACTTTTTTATTTTTTTTTTTTTGAGGTACTAGTGGGAGTTGGTGTTATCCTCAGCAACGGATGCGGGAATGTGCTGGTGTTTTCTCCACCGGGGCTTTTTAAACGACATCCTCAAACGGGGGAGGGGGGAAAAAAAAACATTGGGAAGTGAGAGCGGAGCCAAGAACGTACTACATCCTGTACTGTAAAGATAAAACACAGGTACAACCTTAAGTTGGGTGGGACAAATTTGAGCAGAATTATCCTCAGCGATTCTTATGTGGTGTGAGGTGGGGCTGATTTTTTTTTTCCAGCTACATATTCAGACAATTGGCTGATTTGGAGCAAGAATTCTCCCTTCGAGTCAAAGTCAGCAAAGGACCAATTCTCGGACGTCTCTAGGAGATTATCCTGAGCGATTATCTTGTGGTGTGGGCCATGTAAAGAGTGATTTTTCTTCACGTACACGTTTTTTTTTTTCCCGCTAATTGGGTTACGTTTGAGTATTTTTCGCCTCTACCGATCAAAGTCAGCAAATGCTCAATCTTTGACAGGCATGGGAAGAGATTCCACCGCTGGACTGATGACAATAAAAGTCGGCCAAGTGCTTTCTAGGGAAGATATAAACTTGGAAAAAAAAAAAAGGAATGTTATTACTGGCAGCTACTAGTATGTCTGTTCACACACCCCAAAAAAACAAAACAAAAAAAAAGCCTCTTGTGAGTTTCCCACATTATGGCTCACTTTTTGCAAAGTAGTAAGAATTAGGGCCACACTCATAACAAACGACAGCGATAGTGATGCGGGGAATAACATCAGACACAAGTACGAGAATAAAGTCATCAAAAAAGTCAAACGCAAGTTAAGTCCAAATAAAATGAGTCCAAATATTTTTAGAAGTTATACGGACTTGTTAGTTCTATAATTAACCCTTTCAGGGACAGCGGTTACGACAGTGGGCATCTTATCATGTTATCAGGTTACAATTGTACAGAGAAAAAAAAAAAAATTCTCCAAAAAGGACGATTTGATCCGGTTTTCTCTTCTGCGGGGCGGGGGAACGATCCAGGACGGTTCGGTTTGAAAGTGGAACGATTCGATTTAGTTCCGAGTCAGCGGGATTACGATTGGGTTCGATATGGTACAGCTCAATCCGAGCGAGAGAGATGCAATGACTTTTTTTGTTGTCACTTTATATCCATTTGAATGAACTTGCCAGCGCTGTATATTTCTCGAATAGAAGACAATGTAACACGTATCTCACGATATGTCAAAGTGGAACGATTCGATTCGCTGCAGTCTCAACTTTTGAATTTAAAAAAAATAAAAATAAAATATGTTTTCTGGTTCAAACCATTTTCTGTTCCATGCCAAGCATACTGGATATATATACAGATGGATGGGTTTTTTTGTTCCATGCCAAGCATACTGGATATATATACAGATGGATGGGTTCAAAAATGTAACCGATACACGCTCTACTCAGGTTTCCCCCCATCCTATTTGGATAGCCAAGTTTTTATTTGATGGTTCTTCAAGCAGCAGTCAGCCTTTTGGCAGGTCGGTGGCCTTTCCGCAGTTAAGAATCTCACGATCCCCGATTTTCCGACTATAGTTAGCCACGTTAGCCTTTGAGCTCAAAGCGCAGCTAAATATAGCCTGGCGGATGCATTGTTTATTATTCAAAACATCTCTTTAAAAAAAAAAAAGGCGCTTCATCTCGAAAACAAATAGAATTGAATTCTTGTAATAGTTGAATTCGTGTTCCACCCCCCCGTAATTCCACATTTTTTTTACTATTTATTCTTGTATCAGCACAACTAATGAGGGTGATTTTTCCTTATGATTTTTGTAAATATTGGATTGTGCCGCTCACAAACCCTCGTAACGACTTTAATCTTACACGATTAAAACTTTTCCTTCAAAACAAGACAATTTGAATCCGGTACAGGGGTGGGGGTGCCTCCGTTAGCATTGTTTCCCAAAACCAGATTAAAGCTAGGCTCCTTTGGCACAACAACAACAACAAAAAAAGATGTATTTTGGCCGCTCACAGTTGATCTTTTAAATCACGCACTCAATAAATCATGACTATCTTCAGATACTGGCACAGAATTGAACACAAAGTATTTTGCAGAGAAAGAGCAGGAAAAGTTATGACTCCCACAAGTCAAAGCTCTCAACATATGTCCAAGATTGAAATCACCCCTCGAAGTGAGATTGCAGGAATGAAATGCCAGCAAAGCTTTAAAAAAAAAAAAGATGCGGATAACTAAATAACAGAAACATGTCGAAGAAACGGAATGTATTCGGCAGAATGACTGCTGACTATTGTTATAAAATGACACCGCTTGTTGCTAGGCGGATTTTAAAGCTCAGGAAAGTCCAAATTGGCAGATGCCATTGTGCACACTCTGTTGCCCCACTCAACATAGAGAGAGTTGGCAGACCCCCCCCCTGCTCGCCCCCCACCTCCGCCCTCTCCCCCAGCCCCCAAATACAAACTGTGCAAGTGAATCACTACAACAACAAGCATTATTTTGCAAGATTCCGTCTGCTTTGTGGCGTGGCGCACAGCATCATCTGCCTTGCACTTGCTGATTCTAATTCGGGAGATTTTATTATTATTATTTTTTTGGGGTGGCATAGAAAGTTATTCACTTTTTATAATATTTCCCACATCGTTATGATGGCCAAGCGATGACCTCTTTTTGATGTCTAGTCCCCTGTGATGTTGTCCTCACACAATAGTGTGTGAGGACAACCTCCAGCTGTTTTGTGCATTTTCCTGTTATGTGGATCACATACTCAACGTGCCCTTTTTCAAAGTGGACTCGCCCTCACACGTACGACGCGGACGGCGCAACACAATGGCGGTCGTCCCCGTCGTCTATTTTTAAAAGCAGGACAAGCAGATGAAAACGCCTCAGCCGAAGACGTTCGGGTGTGCGTTCGTTCTCGTTAGTGAGCCGCATTATTTGCTTTGTCATAAGCTGCGCCAGCAGATGAATATATTAACCGTTTATTCAAATCATATCACCCTGAAGGGTGCAGGTGTTCCGTAGGTGTGTGTGTGTGTGTGTGTGTGTGTGTGTGTGTGTGTGTGTGTGTGTGTGTGCGCGCGTCGGTGGTGTCATGTGACGTAACCAAATACAAATAATCTGGGACTGTACTTAAATTTAAAAAAACATTTTCAGGATCTGCAATTTATTAGCATGACTGCGATGTGTGGATTGGTAATGAAATTATAAAGTCCATTTCAGCATTTGGCTTTATTTTTACTTGACTGTTAAAAAAATGGGGGGCGGGGCTAAAACAGTCATTTTATTTGGAACAACTTGAAAATGGAAATTAGTACATTTTATGGCAACAACGTTCGTTTTAGCACAACAAAGCAACTCATGTGACGTAATCAAATACAAATAATCTGGGACTGTACTTAAATTGAAAAAAAACCTTTTCAGGATCTGCAATTTATGAGCATGACTGCTATGTGTGGATTGGTAATGAAATTATAAAGTCCATTTCAGCATTTGGCTTTATTTTTACTTGACTGTTAAAAAAATGGGGGGCGGGGCTAAAACAGTCATTTTAGTTGGAACAACTTGAAAATGGAAATGATTGCATTTTATGGCAACAACGTTCGTTTTAGCACAACAAAGCAACCGATTTTCTCAGTTGTTTTTACTTCGATCAATAATTGGGGGACAATGAAAGAGGGTAAGTAGTTTGGTTGTTGAATTGTCCCACTGAACATTTTATAGAAGTTTGCTGCCTTGAAATTTTGAGTTCACGCCACTTTTTTTTTCACAGGTACAAGCTGAAAGTTGCAGCAAATTAATTAAACGGGGTTGAATCGGGGCTTCTACTTTCAGCACAGTATCTGGACTTCTACTTAAGTGTAGTTTGTGTACTTTTTGCCAGCTGTGTGTGTGTGTGTAGATTTATTTTTAGACAGTCCAGGCTGGTACGATTTGCCAATGACTGGGAACAAAGCCCAGTGGGTCAGGTTTCAATGACACCATGTGGACCGGGTCACCTCCAGGCTGTATCCTTTCAACTTTAAACACATTTGGTAAGATCTCAACTTTCATAAAATCTGTGATTCATACCACTCACAAGATGAGTCATAAAGAGAGGAAAGAAATGAAATGGATTAGCAGCGCCTTAAATGAGATAAAGGTCATAAGTTTCACTTTTTTTTTTTTCACTTGCTCAGTACAAAGCAAGAAAGGCTCCAGAATTTGTGTGGTACCAGAAAAAAAAGGAGAAAAATCACAAACAGAGAAAAAAAAAAAAGGAAAAAAAATCTGTACGGAATTACGAAAATGCATGGTCAACTGTAGTTTTAAGTTGTAATATCGGCAATCGCCTCTAAATGGCACAAGTGTCTATGTTGCACTTCCACTGGGTCTTGTACTGCCCTATACTACACTGCAAGTAGCTGATTTTTTATTTTATTTTTTGCTGATTTGGAATGATATGCAGGACAAACACAGTAGGGCGATAATATCAGAATTTTGAGCGAGTCGATTTTTGTGAAAAACATACTTAATGTTGGTTTCTGGGTCAGCAGTTTGTGCCGCCCTCGAATGGTATTTTTTTACCAAGAGACCCCTTTGGATTAGGAAAAAAAAGCACATTATGTGGTTATTTCTGATTTATTTTTATTACCCTTTGTTGTTTGGGTTGGGATGAAAACTTGGCACAAGACCACGGCGGACAGCCGCCTCTCTCGCTCAAACATCTCACCAGAGCAAGCACTATTTAAAAAAAAAAAAAAGTTTTGGATCCCATTCTGTGCAGTAAATGTATCATTTCCAAACTTGTACTCTCAAGTGTATTGCAATGACAATGGGGTAGTCTCGTGTTGTGTGTAACGTTTCCTTGTTGTGGGGATCAACACAAGAGGCCCCTCTTATCCCTGTTTGGGTTGGGAGGAGGGCGCGGACTCGCAAGCTGGGGGGAAGGGGGGTGGACAAAGTGGGTTGGAAACTTCAAAACGCGCTCTCGACTCTCGCGCGTTCCCGCGTATCCAATGAGCGCTCGCTTCGCCAGACTCTGCCCGCCATACAAATAAGCGGGGCCTCACTTTTTGTGAACCCTCTTTTAAGGTCGCGTTCACGCTTCTTTGTGCCGTGGCGAGATCCTCCGCGGTGATTCAGTAAACTGCACGCGTAGCAAGTTAGGAAGAGTTGCAAAACGTCCAGAAACTTTTTCCGGGCTTCTTTTTCTGAAGGAAAAACTTTTTTGGCGGGGTGAAAAAAAAAAAAAAAAAACATCTTAAAGTTTTTCTTTTTTTGACATCTCCACCTGCGAGCATGACGAGGAGGTCGTGCGCGATCTACGCGGTGGGCGTCATTAGCGCCACCCTGCTCATCGTGGGCATCGGCCTGACCGCCTCGCAGGCTTTCCGCAAGCTGATGTACAACCGTCTCAAGAAGGTATGCAAAACAAGCGTCCACTTTTTTCCCCTCTCTCGTGTGCGTGTGTGTGTGTTTTGCATGTGTCGCTTTACCACGCTGCCCTGCATTTATTTCCGCTATGTTCAAAGCGGAAGACAGTTGACGGTTGACAATGGTGGTGATTGTGTGCCGGTGGGGCCCGCTTGCAGAGAGCAATCATCAGATCCATGCACTTCTTTAAAAAAAAAAAAATTATATATATATATATATACACACACACACTGTATATATAAAGCACTTCAAGACTCGTATAAAATGTTGCTTGGAGCCACATTGTAGAATTATGACTTCTGTTAAATTTTTGCACTGGATGGCGTTTGCTGTGCTTAAATATCCATCCATCCATCCATCCATTTTCTGATCTGCTTATCCTCACGAGTGTCGCGGGGGCGTGCTGGAGCCCACCCAACTGTCTTCGGGCACTAGGCGGGGTACACTCTGAACTGGCTGCCAGCCAATCACAGTGCACACATAGACAAACAATCATTCGCGCTCACAATCACACCTAGGGACAAATTAAGGAGTGCCCAATCAACCTCCCATGCATGTTTTTGGAATGTGGGAGGAAACCGGAGTACTCGGAGAAAACCCACGCAGGCACGGGAGAGAACCTGCAAATTAAAGGTTGAGGCCAAAGCGGGGAATAAAACCCTGCACCTCTGCACTGTGAGGCTGACGTGCTAACCACTGGGTCACCGTGCCGCTAAGTATCAAAAGTCATTTTCTGGTTTCAAATAACTTTGGTTTTTATGTTTTTGATCTGGGTAAAGCATTTGAGAACTGCTCTCATTTGGTGTAAACAGCAGAATGAAACAAAAAGCGAAATAGAAGCAAATACAAAAAAAAAAAAAAATACATGGCAAAGTGTGCATATTTACGTTTTTTCACTCACAGTAAATATCAAATTATTGCAAAAAATAGATTTAAAAAAAAATGCCATTTTTGCCAAGCGCGTCTGTTTATGGGCTTATTCATTACAGGTGTCTTCATTTTGACTCGGCATAATTCCAGTTCACGATATCTTGAATTAACTTCAGTTCAAGATGGTTTAGGTGTGGCTTCTTAGATATCTGCACGTGGAACTATGACTGGTCTAAACGACCTTGCAGAAATCTTAAACTGGGAGTTCCAGATATCTGTTGCAATTCTGTTGCAACAGATATCTGCAAAAAAAGTTTTGTGAGACTTTTGTGGTCGGGTTTTTTTTTTTTTTTTTGCATTTAAGGTCACATTTAAATGAGAACCAAAAGTACAAGTGACTTCTCAGAAAACGTTACCAAAAATACACACTCAGCAGTCATCACTTTGGAGTTGTTCTCTAGCCGTGAGCAAACGATGGAAATTTGAAACGCAAAGTGTGAGAGAGAGGAACAAAAAGAAATTCAAAGCGATGATTCGGACAGATTATTCGCAGTTCCTTTTGCTTTATGATGACGTCCGGAGGACAGAGAATTTGCGTGTCCAGGAATAATTTTTGCTTGGGGGGGTTTGAAAAAAAAAAAGTGCACGTCAAAGTCACGTTTTAATTTCCTCAGGAAGTAGGCTACTTTGTTCTGTGTCCTCGGAAGGGAGGTTTCGACCCCAAATGGTTCCTTTAATGTCCCATTAAATGGGCTCGTTGCTTGTCGGTTGATTGACACATGAAAGCAAACGTTCAGATCTCAATCTTTCTACTTGAAGGAAATTCCTTGGCAAAGCACCGATTCCAATCTCACCCCCCCCCCCCCCCCCATCAGGGGGTGAGATTGGTGGAAATAGTGCAGTGGGTTGCCACTTGGACATGAATTCGGGTTGCTAGGCTTTGAATATGAGGGGATGATTATCGAAATTGGTCAAGAATGTGGACCACTTTATATTGCTACTGGTACACAGATCTGGCTTAAATGCCAGGAAGGTTTTGGGTTCCAGAGGTGGACCGTGCATTTGGTACCCACGCTTAATCCGCTTTCACATCGGAAAACTATGAAACTGTCAGTCCCACACAAAAAGCCCCCCACGACAGTTACGCAAAACGAAGATAAGAGACTGCTGGGATTACATTCATACGTTTTCACGAGTGGGTTCTGACTTCAGAGCTGGTTGCCGTGATGGCTTTCACTGTTGACAAATTTGATGCACGGAGAGGAAGTAAAATCTGAAACGATCGACGGATTACTTGATTGAGGAAGCGAGCAGGTGGCGCTCTGTCAAAGATACACAAGTTCTTTTTGAAACTCGAGTAAAACACACACTACGTTTAACATACCAAACAACGAGCGGGCTTACTTGGTCGGATTTATTTCGGGGCTGGGGGCTCATCCCATTTGGTCTGTGTGTGAAGCCTCTCATTCCAAGAATGTTTCCTTGAGTCCGAAGCTTCTTTCGCCACAGCCGGCGTTGGGTAGAAACTCGTCGATCCTTGGTAGGTTATTGGACAATTTACAACTTCCAGACGTGATGCAAGTACGGATCAAGATCAGGTAGGTTGCCAAGTCAAAACTTTGGGGAGTTGAGACCAAGGATGCGGGCTGTTGGTAACAAGTCGAGACCTCGACTCTGAGGTGAGATCCAAACGGGGCAGGTTGAGAGCAAGACGTGAGGATTTAAGACCACGTCCAGACCAAAACATTGAGGAGTTGCGACCAAGGCAAGGCAGGTTGAGACCAAGTCAAGCCCAAGACAACGAGGGGCGAGAGTTTTTCCAGGATTTTCGAGTAAGCCGAAGCAGGTCAAGGCCAAGTCAAAACGAAGACCGACTTCACACCAAGTCGAACCCAAAACCGGTGTCGGTAGACTTAAAGGTTTGAGACTAGATTCAGAACTGTGATAGGCAGGTCGAGAATAACTGAAGATCTTTGAGGAGTTGTGGCAGATCCGGGGCCGATCAAAACCACATTTTTGTGCCATTTTATTTATTTATTATTTTTCGTGGTGTACCGTTGAGATTTTTCTCATGTCAAATGGGTGCCTTGGCTCATGAACGGTCGGGAAGCACTTCGTCTATGGAACCCTCTGCCGCAAAAACAATAGCCTCAACGTTAAACAGTCTTTACGTTCCGCTGTTTCTCAGAAGATTTTAAAGAATATCCTGCGGCTGTGCGTTATTCATGCCTGTGTTTTTCCTCCCGTCTCGACATCAAAGTAGTCGCGGTACGCCTATTTGCTTATTCACCTGCTACATGTGTTTTCCATCGGGGAGTGGCGTAGATGAGAGGGCTTCTCTGTTCCTGTTTTCCATGCGCTATTTCATGTCGCATGCTGGGAGGGCGGCCATGTCGAATAGTGCGATGAAAAATAACAACAACAAAAAAAAAAGCATGAAAGGACAGCGGCCCGAAAAGAGTACGCTCTTGCCCTCTTCAATCCAAGGTGACAGCTTTATTGTCCTTGACCGCTTTGTAAAATGTCCGTCTGCGGATGAGTAGAATGGAAGCCAGAAGGAGGAGGGCTCCCGGAACGCTGGGGACACTTTGGCACACTCTCCCTTTTTTGGGGGTTAATTTACATCCAGACACTACTTTGAACAAAAGTGACACAACTAGGCCAAACTGAGATTTCCACCTCATGTGCGGTTGAAAGACAAACTAAACCTCCACCACACCCCCTCTTCTCTTCCTTCTCGCCTTCCCCCAGTGTTTTCCCCAATTCCTCCAAAGAACCCCGCGGTGAATCGTCGGGGATCGTTGTCCGTCAGCGTAAAAGCGTTTTGCGGCGTTCGAAAACAACGGAGAGTTTTCGCTTCTGGAGCTCAGGCCTGAGGAATGCGGCCCAGATCATTAAGGTCGCAGTCCCGCGCAACCATTAGGACTTGGGCTTTACGAATCACATGATCTGTCAGTGACTCTCTCTCTCTCTCCCTGAGCGCCTGTCGTCAATGGCAACCGTCTGACAATGGAACTATGGCGGGGTCTCCCCTAATACCATTCATGTGCATGGCCAATGCTCTTGTCAGACAGAGGCACCCCTCCGTGGTCCCCCTTTAAGATGTTTTTGTTCTCCGGGCTGTTTTTGTTCGGAATACGCCATCCAGACTAAAAACGTGCGGCCACTTTTTCTGAACTTGAAATGTTAATCACTTGAAATTCAGATCGCCGGCACAGTCTGGAGTTACTGCCGAGTTTGTCAGCTAACTGAAGGTGTCTTAACAGGAGATTGTTTTGGTGGAGGGTAGCCGCGTGTTTGAGTCATGGAAGAGGCCCCCACCTCCCGTCTACATGGAGTACTTCTTCTTCAACGTCACCAACTTGGATGAGTTCCTTGCCGGGGCCAAGCCAGTCGTCAACCAGGTCGGACCCTACACATACAGGTGGGGTCCAGGACTTTAAAATGTGAATAACTGATGTGAGATCTGAAGTGTGCTACTTGGAAGTCCACCCCCAAAAATGTGATTGTGTTACTTGGTGTAGCGACGAGGACCAACCTAGAAATGGACATTTTGACTTTAGGAGTCGAGACCAAGGCACGTGAAGGACAAGTCTTTCAGAAGTTGAAGCCAAGTCCTGACCAAGACAGTGGCATACAAGACAGAGCCAAGACACAAAACCTTGAGGAGCTCGGGACAAGTCAAGGACTTTGATGAGTCCTGACCAAGTCCAGAACAAGACTCAATCTTTGAGCAGTTGAGCACTGGTCAGGACTAAGGCCATAGCATGTGAGACAGTCAAGACCAAAGGCTTTGAGGAGTTGACGCCAAGTCAAGATAGAGACTTTGAGTCTTTGATTTGAGTCAATGACCAGTGACTAAGACTTTGAAGAGTTTAAACCAAAGTCCAGACGAGCTCAAGTCAGGATCAAGATTTTGATGATTGAGAAAGTGCAGACCAATATTTAGAGGACTTGAGACCAAGTCAAGGCCAAGTTTTTTTTTCCCCAGGTATTTTTTGATGGACAAGAAGCAGGTCGAGAGAAAATCAAGATCGAGACTTTGAGAATTTGAGACCAAAACCCGCCCCGAGACCGAGGTCGCTAGCGACCAAGTCGAACCGTAGACTTTCAGGAGACCGCGACATTGCACCAATTCACACGTTTTCTGAATAACAAGCAGTCACTCTGTCGGTTTTTGGATTTTAATGCTTGCCAATTGTTTAAATATCAAATAATTTTTGTGTTGTTTTGTGTCATGCAAAGGGAGTACAGGTACAAGGACAACGTGACCATGGTGAACGATGGCAAAATGGTGTCGGCGTACAACACTAAAAGCTTCGTCTTTCTGAGAGACAAGTCTGTTGGCGACCCTTCGTTGGATAACATCGTCACTGTTAATATACCCGCTTGGGTAAGGAAAGATCGACGACGACAAGTCATTGGCCACCGTGTCCTCTCGGCTCAAGTCCGCCTCCTTCCCTTGTAGGCGGCGATGAACAAGGCCAAAGGGAGCTTCTTTAAATCCTCGATCCTGTCCGTCTGGATGAACACGCTCAAAAGCGGCCTGTTCACCACTCGCACCGTGGACGAATTGCTGTGGGGCTATGAGGACCCCCTGCTGGTCCGAATCGCTCAAATGAGTTCAGGAGTGGACACGATTTTTGGTTTTATGTACGGGGTAGGTCAAGATTTGCTTGATATAAAAAGAGACGAAATGTATTTTTTATTATTATTTTATTTTATTTATTTATTTTTGTTGAAAAGGAAGACGACTGGATGGAGTTTTTAAATCTGGGAGGGCTTTGTTTTTGGATTCATTTGTTGTTAAGAGTTTTTTAAAAAATGTATGGTAAGAGGATCTTAAAAAAAAAAAAAGAAAAACTCGCATATGAAATTGCAATATTGTGCAGGGGAAAAAAAATAAATTGAAATCACAATTAGCTTCCTTCTCGAAATCGATCAGCACTACTCCAGACCCACCCACAAAAGGCAATAATCCATTCCTGTGTAAACAAAGATCTGAAAAGTACATGCACGCAGCTCTCCTTTCCCACGTACAAGGGCATCACACTAAGTATACAGTTAAAAACTGTTATTTTGAACCAACCCAAAAATATTTTCAGATGGAAAACAGGATACATCCACTTGAGGGATGTGGGGGGGGGGGTGTCTTAAGTGGGTGTGGATGGCCAATATTTGAGGAAATCTAGAACATGAAGATTTGTCCTCCCCGCTCCCCAGAAAAATGGAACCAACGATGGGGAATTCGTCTTTCACACCGGGGAGCAGAATTACTTGGATTACGGCCGAGTGGAAACATGGAAAGGTCAAAGGTAACGCATTCCTCCCTTACTTTTCTTTGGCCAGAAGCTTTCTTGCGTCAACTTCTTTCTGCTCAAAATAGATGCCGATTCTGTCTGGGGTTTTTTTTTTTTGGTGGATGTTTGGTCTCAGCTGTTAACGCTTGTTCTCCTTTACGACCCGTATCATCAAACACTTCTCTCCGATTTTCTGTCATCGACATAACACGATGGCAACTGGTATGAAAACGGACGTCTCTCGGAAATGTTTTGCAGGCAGCTGACCTTCTGGAACTCCAATCACAGCAACAGCATCGACGGGTCCGACGGAAGTGCCTTTCATCCCCTACTGAAAAAGGACGAACGCATTTATATTTTCACCCCGGACCTTTGCAGGTATTTTCATCTCCCTCGTTGTCTGTGTTTAATTGTGAGACTTTCGTTTTTACTTCTAGCGGCGCCATTATTTGTCTCCTCACAATAGTGGCTGCAGTTGCGCTACGCATCCACTAGACTAAAGGGAATACAATACAGCTTTATTTATATCGAGCTTTCACAACCGCTGCAGCTATAAAAAAATCGCTTGACAGAACATTTACAATACAGTGTCCAAGAAATCAGAATATTGATCCATATAGAAGGCGCATCGGATTATGAAGCATTTATAGTGCGGAAAATGCGGTCAAAGCAACTAATCTGACCCAGCGCCCAAACCAAGTTCGTGCAAGTGTTTTTATTTTTTTTTCGTTCACTACTATGTATCCTTTATATTTAGATAGGGTTTTGTTATTAAAAAAAAGCACAAAAAATGAGATTAAGTGAGTTTTAAATTAAAAGGAAAAGACAAATGGGTGAATTGGCAACCTGTGAATATGTGGGGGGACGGGGTGAGGGTCTCATATTGACTATATGACATTTTTCATAAAATGTCAACAACATTGAGGAGTTAACCCGGAGTCGCGACAAGCTTGACCGCTGAAGTTGTGCCATTCCGTTCGCTGTATGAGAGCCATCCCATAATTTAACCTTCACCTCCAAACCTTTTTTGTCGCATGTGGAAAGAATCTGTGGGCGTTTTACCTTTGGCCCAGTCTAGGCGCGTGTCGTTGACCACCCTCCCTTGTCCCAAATGTTTTCAAAACACTTTCACCCACTTACTCAACTCATTGTGGCTTCACGCAGGCGAGGTGTGTTACGGGAACTAAAGGGGATCGCTGCCGCCTCCGTTTCCTGTCTTTTTGACTATTGCATGAGAGGAAATGTCCCCTTTGGTCCGGCGCGGACATATTTCACACGAGCAAAAGTTTGGCTACTGATCGTGCTTTTAAAACATGTATTTAAATTGACATCTGGAATTTTTTTTTTTTTTTTCCTCGGAGGGAGTGGGGAAAGGCGTATGAATAAATAAACGACAATTCCCATTTGTAACCTTTTGGCCTACGTATTGAAAGCTGAGCCACAAAAGCCTCAAGATGTTGATGAAGTGCAGACAGGTGCGATTTGTTCAATAGCTGGCTTGTCTTTTGGTTGCCCTGGACATAAATCACTCTCCCCACTGCGGCCGTTTCTTCCAGATACAGCAGAACCTCCCCCCCCCCCCCCCCCCCCCCCCCCGGTCAAACGTTAACCCGACTGAACGATAGGAAATGGGCCCGCGATATAAAGTCATCAATTCAAATCCATTTCTCTATAGAGTAAATTGAAAATACAGAGGTTTTTGTGACAACACATCAAAATATAATAATCCGCAATTAGACTGTAAAAATCAACTGGATTTATCATTACTGTCGTTTTTATGTGTTGGATTAGTATTTATAGTTTAAAATGAGATTTTTACAAATATTTACAATAATTATGACCTTACTACTGCCCTAGTGTCGGTGAGCGTAAGCCTACGGCGCCGTCAAATTCAGGTTAGAGTTAGCCCTAGCTTACAGCTAGCTTACAACCGCGAGTAACTGGCCACTCCCCCTCCCCCTACACCCCAAATATTTATAATTTCCAATAGTAATAATGTAAACCATACATATACCAACGAAATATGATGCAAAACATTTACAATTCTTTTTAGTTCAATTTATATTTTCCCTGAAAAAAAGGCTTTCCAATGTATATATATATTTTTTTGAAATGCACCAGTAAATACACGCACATGCAGCGAAGACTCTCTAACTTTGACCAACAACCCAGGCTAAACTTCCCAGACATACAAACATCAACATATATTCCTTCAAGTTCAACTATTAGCCTGCGCTTTGCTTTTGGCGCCATCTTGTGGAATCTTGAAGTGTAAATAGAAAATATGCAAATAGGCGAGTTTTGGAGCAAAATAGTGGAGCATAGGGGAATTCGTCAAGAGGAAATCTGCTGTGCTCACTGCTCCTTATAATGTATTTACAAAAGGATCGTTTTCCAAATTCTCTTCTAGCAACTATGCCTGGAGCCTTTTTTTTTTTTTCCACCCCTCGTGGTGTCTCTCGCAAAGGTCAAGGGAAAGGCCGTTAGAGTATTGTTGCACACTGGCAAACACTGTATGGACTCGTTTGTTCCAACTGAGAAGCACTGGGAACTGTTCAACATACTGCGACTCTCTCAGAAGTCACCATAATAACACCCTCAATGCGTCCACCGGACTTCATCGATGGTGCTGAAGGTTGGATTTGATCTACGGGGGGGGGCTTTCTATCTTTTCATCATTTCAAATTCTCGCTTTGACAGCTGCATAAGTGGACCTGCCAAGCAGTCATTCAGGGGGCTAATAAGCAGACTTTCAACTTTCGCCAGGGTGAATGTTAAAAAGCCATAAACTACCGCAGTGGTTAATGAAGCTATAGAGGAAGTAATAAAATCCTTTGATGCTGTTCAAAGAAAGGATTGGCGTATTAAGAAGGAGGGGAGTGAGGGGTGGGGCGAGCAGCAACTACAGATTCCCTGAAATGTGATCGCGAAAACACCTGCCCCCAATGGTATCAAAGTGAAATGCGGACATCCTGCCAAATTTACAGGTCAACAGAAACCTCACTCCGTTAATTTATTGGCTGCACAGGACCATCTACATGGACTTTGAGAAGGACGTAGAGGTGAGAGGGATCCCGGCATACCGCTTCACGCCACCACGTTCCGTCCTGGCCAGCAAAGAAGAGAACCCGGACAACGAGGGTTTCTGCGTCACCCCACAGCAGTGCCTGGGAACAGGCCTCCTCAAAGTCAGTCCTTGTCGGAAAGGTAAACGACCGTAGCTCCGTTTATGATCGTTTCATGCTCGGTTGCATAAACAGAAGACGGAAATCACGCCGCGCGTCCTCGTAGAAGTACAATAAAAGCTTGGGTCATTCGGGATTTATCAAAAGATAAGGCAACCTGGAGAATCAGATGTCACATTGCAATTGGAGTGACTCTTACTGTAATTAAAGTGAATTATAACAAATTATAATTGCGGTGAATTGTACCATATAACATTGGCGAGAATTGTATTTTCCGTATTTTCCGCACGATAAGGCGCACCTTCGACGAATGGCCTGTTTTAAAACCATTTTCATATATGGGGCGCACTGCATTATAAGGCGCAAAAAATAGAAGCTACAATAGTGGCTGCGGTTGCGTTATGCATCCGCTAGATGGAGATACGCTAAAGGGGATACAATACAATACAGCTTTATTTATGGGGAGCTTTTTCAACCGTCTAAGGTCAGGTGTCATTTGAGTCTACCAGTAAGAATGTGTGTGTGTGTGTGTGTGTGTGTGTGTGTGTGTGTGTGTGTGTGTGTGTGTGTGCGCGCGCACTGCAGTGACCTTGGCGGTTGTCCGAGGGCTGTTGCCAAACACCCGAGCAGGAAAATGCTCACCCCTGCCCCACTTCACGCGCTCTACTGGATTTATCATTACTGTCGTTTTTATGTGTTGGATTAGTATTTATAGTTTAAAATGAGATTTTTACAAATATTTACAATAATTATGACCTTACTACTGCCCTAGTGTCGGTGAGCATAAGCCTACGGCGCCGTCAAATTCAGGTTAGAGTTAGCCCTAGCTTATAGCTAGCTTACAACCGCGAGTAACTGGCCACTCCCCCTCCACCCCAAATATTTATAATTTCCTATAGTAATAATTTAAACCATACATACACCCACAGAATATGATGCAAAACATTTACAATTCTTTTTAATTCAATTTATATTTTCCCTAAAAAAATAAAAAATAAAATAAAAAGGCTTTCCAATGTATATTTTTTAAATGCGCCAGTAAATACATACACATGCAGCGAAGACTCTCCAACTTTGACCAACAACCCAGGCTAAACTTCCCAGGCATACAAACATCGACATATATTCCTTCAAGTTCAACTATTAGCCTGCGCTTTTGACGCCATCTTGTGGAATCTTGGAGTGTAAATAGAAAATATGCAAATAGGTGAGTTTTGGAGCAAATAGTGGCACATAGGTGAATTCGTCAAGAGGAAATCTGCTGTGCTCACTGCTCCTTATCATGTATTTACAAAAGGATCGTTTTCCAAATTCTCTTCTAGCAACTATGCCTGGAGCCTTTTTTTTTTTTTCCACCCCTCGTGGTGTCTCTCGCAAAGGTCAAGGGAAAGGCCGTTAGAGTATTGTTGCACACTGGCAAACACTGTATGGACTCGTTTGTTCCGACTGAGAAGCATCAGGATTCCCTGGGAACTGTTCAACATACTGCGACTCTCTCACAAGTCACCATAATAACACCCTCAATGCGTCCACCGGACTTCATCGATGGTGCTGAAGGTTGGATTTGATCTACGGGGGTGGGGGGGGGGCCTTTCTATCTTTTCATCATTTCAAATTCTCGCTTTGACAGCTGCATAAGTGGACCTGCCAAGCAGTCATTCAGGCGGCTAATAAGCAGACTTTCAACTTTCGCCAGGGTGAATGTTAAAAAGCCATAAACTACCGCAGTGGTTAATGAAGCTATAGAGGAAGTAATAAAATCCTTTGATGCTGTTCAAAGAAAGGATTGGCGTATTAAGAAGGAGGGGAGTGAGGGGTGGGGCGAGCAGCAACTACAGATTCCCTGAAATGTGATCGCGAAAACACCTGCCCCCAATGGTATCAAAGTGAAATGCGGACATCCTGCCAAATTTACAGGTCAACAGAAACCTCACTCCGTTAATTTATTGGCTGCACAGGACCATCTACATGGACTTTGAGAAGGACGTAGAGGTGAGAGGGATCCCGGCATACCGCTTCACGCCACCACGTTCCGTCCTGGCCAGCAAAGAAGAGAACCCGGACAACGAGGGTTTCTGCGTCACCCCACAGCAGTGCCTGGGAACAGGCCTCCTCAAAGTCAGTCCTTGTCGGAAAGGTAAACGACCGTAGCTCCGTTTATGATCGTTTCATGCTCGGTTGCATAAACAGAAGACGGAAATCACGCCGCGCGTCCTCGTAGAAGTACAATAAAAGCTTGGGTCATTCGGGATTTATCAAAAGATAAGGCAACCTGGAGAATCAGATGTCACATTGCAATTGGAGTGACTCTTACTGTAATTAAAGTGAATTATAACAAATTATAATTGCGGTGAATTGTACCATATAACATTGGCGAGAATTGTATTTTCCGTATTTTCCGCACGATAAGGCGCACCTTCGACGAATGGCCTGTTTTAAAACCATTTTCATATATGGGGCGCACTGCATTATAAGGCGCAAAAAATAGAAGCTACAATAGTGGCTGCGGTTGCGTTATGCATCCGCTAGATGGAGATACGCTAAAGGGGATACAATACAATACAGCTTTATTTATGGGGAGCTTTTTCAACCGTCTAAGGTCAGGTGTCATTTGAGTCTACCAGTAAGAATGTGTGTGTGTGTGTGTGTGTGTGTGTGTGTGTGTGTGTGTGTGTGTGTGTGTGTGTGTGTGTGCGCGCACTGACTCCAGTGAGAGCTTCTCCTCTTCTTCATTGAGGTGAGGGAGTCTGTGCAGTCCTAAAGTCATCCTCAGCGCATCAACATGCTCCTTCAGAGGTTTGTACTCATCATGCAGGCGGCGAGTTGTTTCTAGCAGCTTGTTCAGGTCATTTTCAGACTGCTTGATTGTGCTTTCCATCTTTGGAAAAACAAAAATACACCAAAAATCCTGAACTGTACAAATGCAATGCTGTATATTTGGAAATGTTCATACCGCAATACACACATGCTTCTAAATTGTTGTTTTCACAAAGCAATATCTGCAAAATGGAGTTATTTCCCTTTTTGTTTCTCCAGGTGCTCCAGTCGTGGCGTCTTTTCCTCATTTCTACCTCGGAGATTCCAAATATCTATTAGCCTGCGCTTTTGACGCCATCTTGTGGAATCTTGGAGTGTAAATAGAAAATATGCAAATAGGTGAGTTTTGGAGCAAATAGTGGCACATAGGTGAATTCGTCAAGAGGAAATCTGCTGTGCTCACTGCTCCTTATCATGTATTTACAAAAGGATCGTTTTCCAAATTCTCTTCTAGCAACTATGCCTGGAGCCTTTTTTTTTTTTGTTCCACCCCTCGTGGTGTCTCTCGCAAAGGTCAAGGGAAAGGCCGTTAGAGTATTGTTGCACACTGGCAAACACTGTATGGACTCGTTTGTTCCGACTGAGAAGCATCAGGATTCCCTGGGAACTGTTCAACATACTGCGACTCTCTCACAAGTCACCATAATAACACCCTCAATGCGTCCACCGGACTTCATCGATGGTGCTGAAGGTTGGATTTGATCTACGGGGGGGGGCTTTCTATCTTTTCATCATTTCAAATTCTCGCTTTGACAGCTGCATAAGTGGACCTGCCAAGCAGTCATTCAGGGGGCTAATAAGCAGACTTTCAACTTTCGCCAGGGTGAATGTTAAAAAGCCATAAACTACCGCAGTGGTTAATGAAGCTATAGAGGAAGTAATAAAATCCTTTGATGCTGTTCAAAGAAAGGATTGGCGTATTAAGAAGGAGGGGAGTGAGGGGTGGGGCGAGCAGCAACTACAGATTCCCTGAAATGTGATCGCGAAAACACCTGCCCCCAATGGTATCAAAGTGAAATGCGGACATCCTGCCAAATTTACAGGTCAACAGAAACCTCACTCCGTTAATTTATTGGCTGCACAGGACCATCTACATGGACTTTGAGAAGGACGTAGAGGTGAGAGGGATCCCGGCATACCGCTTCACGCCACCACGTTCCGTCCTGGCCAGCAAAGAAGAGAACCCGGACAACGAGGGTTTCTGCGTCACCCCACAGCAGTGCCTGGGAACAGGCCTCCTCAAAGTCAGTCCTTGTCGGAAAGGTAAACGACCGTAGCTCCGTTTATGATCGTTTCATGCTCGGTTGCATAAACAGAAGACGGAAATCACGCCGCGCGTCCTCGTAGAAGTACAATAAAAGCTTGGGTCATTCGGGATTTATCAAAAGATAAGGCAACCTGGAGAATCAGATGTCACATTGCAATTGGAGTGACTCTTACTGTAATTAAAGTGAATTATAACAAATTATAATTGCGGTGAATTGTACCATATAACATTGGCGAGAATTGTATTTTCCGTATTTTCCGCACGATAAGGCGCACCTTCGACGAATGGCCTGTTTTAAAACCATTTTCATATATGGGGCGCACTGCATTATAAGGCGCAAAAAATAGAAGCTACAATAGTGGCTGCGGTTGCGTTATGCATCCGCTAGATGGAGATACGCTAAAGGGGATACAATACAGCAGGAAAATGCTCACCCCTGCCCCACTTCACGAGCTCTTAGCCCCGCCGCCGGCAGCTTATGTGCAACGCCATTTTTCGTGTGATGGCGCACGTTTCAAAATTTAGCAGTGGAGACCAGACAAGATAACATCACTCCTTACATGCTTGAAACGGGCCGGGTGGACTCTGTCATCGGATCGCAATGTCTCTTGTTGACAATAAGTGGAAGGAACTGAGTGGGAGTAGCGAGATTACAAGTGTGGATATCACTAATTAGTTCGACATCAGCATCAATGTGCACTTCTCAACCTATTGTTTCTTTTGAGACTTCCAAGTAGCTCGCTGTCCCGAGACACAAGTCCGACAGAATCTTAACACCGGTAGAGTCTTCTTGTATAACAGATTTTTCTTTTAAACGTATGAATTTCTTTGTGTGTTATGAATGCATCGACACTATATGTGTTTTGAGTTCAAACAACAGGTGCCATTGATGGCGAGCTATAAAGTATGTGCACAGAGTACAAAATACAAAAACTGATAATATCTGCAAAATGGAGTTATTTCCCTTTTTGTTTCTCCAGGTGCTCCAGTCGTGGCGTCTTTTCCTCATTTCTACCTCGGAGATTCCAAATATGTGGCAGCTATCGAAGGAATGTCGCCTGAGAGAATTCATCACCAAACCTACCTCGACCTAAACCCGGTAGGACAAGACTAAAAACAGTCTGGCGCCCCCTGACGTAGGATCGCCCTAACTGGCACCAGTTTATTAAGTTACAAGCAATCACTTGGACGAATTTTAGTTTTGTTACAAGATGGGGAAAACGCAAACAAAATTGAGCAAGTAAGATACTGTAACGGCCTCAGGAGAGCCGTGTTCGTCGATGCACTTTCAGGCGTTTATTAACAATGGGACTATTAGTCTATTCAGTTCGTTTTAATTGTGTTTTTTTTTTTTTAGAGCGGGATGTTTGAAAATTTTTTTCAGAAATGCTTTACTTAAATTTAGTATTAGTTTTCTTGATATATGGCGAATATGTAAAGTGGGGGGAAAAAATGTCACTAAATATCGTTTAAACTCATTTCCCAAACGATAGTTCGACCTTGTTTATTCTCTATGGCCGTGCAACTATTCATATTCACGGTCTTAAGCTATCTTTTGATTGCGAGTCGTCAGACATCTTTTCCGTTTTATTTATTTATTTTTTTAAATAAACTGTTTTCGTTGGACGATACATTTCTAGCGGAGACGAGGTGGAATTACACTCCTCTCCCATCTAGTGGCTCACAGGCGACAGTGCATGCTTGAGTACCGTCATGTTTTTGTTCAGCCGTTTCATTACTTTCACGCCGCAACAGGATAACTGGGGGATGGCAAACTGGACTCTTTTCCTTTTACAGACCACCGGCATAATTGTACGTGCCAATAAGAGGGCGCAGATCAACATCCTAATCAATAGGATATCCACATTCGCGTAAGTGTTGTGTGTGTGCCGCTTTTATTTATTTTTTGAATGTGTAGAATCACAAAATTCTTTATGCTCCCATTCAGGAAAACTAAAGGTCTAAACGAAACCATCTTCCCCGTCATGTTCCTGAATGAGGTGAGAAACCTGTCAAGTCTTCTAGTACGGATGTACAGATGAATTGACGCATGTTTGGGTTTGTCTCAACAGAGCGTGGTTATCGACGAGGCGTCGGCGGCAAGAGTTCACAAGCTGCTGATGATTGTCAAGGTGGTTTCCAACTTCCCGCTTATCTTTGTGGCTCTGGGCGGCATCATGTTCCTGGTCCTGATCCTCCTGCTGATACGCGAGCGAAAGCAGAAGGTGAGGAGCCGCAGCGACGTTACTTTCTGTTC